CAGACACAAGACAACACTAAGAAACAGTGAGTAAGTAAGAAACATATGTCAGTCGTCGTAAGTCTGTCCTTCTGTCTGGAAGTTTTTATCCACCAAAATGTGTGACTGGTATATTGCTGAGAATAATATGGGCTCTAAATTCAGATTTCAGTGCACTGCATATACACGTTGCTTTAAAGGAGGCTTTAAAAGTAGTTCAGCAGAAAATTCTGTCATTATTGTCAGTAATATTCTTTCAGCAGTCCATATAGGTCTAATAAATTATTTGGCGTAAGCTTGACAGATATTTGTAGGGACATGCACCCTTTGGTTGGGGAGGTTCTACATTCCTCTTTAGGTGCTGAGGGAAGGGCTGAGGAGAATATAAGACCCCAGCACAGACTGTGAGACAAAGTAAGCGTCCGGTTTCCAGTGTTCAGCTCCATAAGTGAAGTCTGCCAGGATGAGCCGCAGTCCAGAGAGGATGTCTTCATACCGCCGTCATTTCGAGGGCACTTTGGCAGCCAGGTCTGCCTGCCAGCTGTGGGTTTCCAGTCCATCTCCCACCCGGAAGGAGACCCGGCATCGGTCAGCAAGCTTCACCCGGAGTGGTGAGACAAGGGGGCGCATGGCCCTCAGTAACAAGGCTCGACTGACCAGGTGGGTAACGTGTAAAAATGTATTTATTGGTTATTTATGTTAGTTGTGTTCAGATTTGTCTTTTTAAAGAAGTGTGAAACAAAAAATACTAACATCAATCAGAAAAAAGTTTTCTCTTCCTTTCCTAAAGCAGTACAAGTATGGGAGCTCTGTGCTCTGGTGTGTCTAAGGATGGTGAGCTGGAATTGGACCTGGATGTGGCTGCAGAGGAGAACCGGGCCTTTATGCTGACTCGTACCCACGAAAGGCAGGAGATGGTCATCCTCAATGACCGTCTGACAGTGTATATCGAAAAAGTAATCTGCAGTCCAACCATATTCTGCTTCTGTGTTTATAATAAAACCTGAAACACATACACACAGGTCTGTTCTGTTGTCTGTTTTTCTTGTTCAGAAATGAACAAGAACATAAAAGTTAATATTACACATAGTGCTTCATAACCTTTTAAGATGAAATGGTAGCACATTGTACATTGTGGGGGTTTTTTTTGGGTTTTTTTTTACTTTTAACCTGTTTCTCACGCTCCTTGCTTTAGGTGAGAACACTGGAGTCAAAAAACAAGCAGCTGGAGGCTGAGATTGAGGCCCTGAGAAGCAGCTATGACAGATCATCTGGGCTTAGGAAACTCTACGAGTCTCAGCTGAAGGAACTGAACAGGGACGCAGAGAAAATGAGAGAGCAAAGGGTGAGAGAGAGAGTCAAGTGACTTTTTAAGTGACAAACTGAGAGAGCTGGTGTGGGTCCTTATTGTAGTCACCACTGCATTATTTCACTCCCTTATTTGTTCAGTTCTTACCCCTCAGCAGTAAAATATTGATGGAGTGTTGTTGTCGTCCTGGGGGACGGGGCTATGGCTCCCCACACCCTCTAGCAGATTGTTACATGGGCAAACCTTTTGAATACAAGCACGCTCATCCACACAGGTGTACGCACAGGTGCACACACGGGTGTTCACTGCTCACAGACACAAACTACACCTTTGTTGACTGCTACCTCAAAGGACATTGTGCGCTGCCGGTTCTGCGTGCTGCACTACAACATTCAATATTTAGTATTTACTGTTATTTACACTAAGCTACATTATTGCGATGGTGTTGTGTTAATTATGTTGCTCTCTTTTTTTCTCTCTCAACAGGTGATCCAGGAGATTGTTTCTTTATAAGTGCCCCTTCTTACTGTCCCTCTTCCCCTCTGTTTTTCTTTCCCTCCCTCTCTCTCCTTTTCTTTCTCCCTTTCCTGTCCCCCAGCCATGTCTATCCCGTCTGTAACAACTGAAAATAAAATAAATAATAATAGCAGAGGTCGATCAAATGGACCAATACGGCAAGGCCTTCAGACAACAATTCTGATGGCTAAAGAACCAAACGGGACAGGCAAAAAACAAAAACAAACAAAAAAACAAACAAACCACCAGCCTCTATCAATCTTGTACTTAGAGCTTGTTCTTGTGCTGTCATGATTCCACAGTCTCTCTTTTTTCTTTGTTTTTTTTTTCTTTCTTTTTGCAGAAACTCTGGTGTGGAAAATAAGTACCCTGCTGGGATAAGCTGGCCAAAGTGTTAAAATTTTATGTGTGTGCGTGTATTTGTAATATTTTGTTGCACATAAATGATGCGGTTCTTTTTCATGTTCTTGTTTTTTTGTGTATTGTCAAATGGTTTGCAACTGTGTCCTGTTTTCCTCCTTTACCTCTTTTCCCACATTGGGTAGTGCTAGCGCAGAGGGGTAGCACTGTTTTTTGATTCTACAGGAGTTTGACAGTTGTATCTGTGGCCTGTACAGGATCTGTCTTTGGCAGCCAAGGCGGCAATGTTGGGCCAGTTGGACACGCTGAAGGCAAGATATAATGAAGCCCTGGAGACCAGGAAGAAGTCAGAGTATGAGATTGAGGCTCTACGCCCGGTATGACACTATGAAAAGTCAATTTGTAACTTTGAATAAAGACACTTAGTAGCTGCTTGTGAAAATAAATTACATTTATATCCCTGTTGTTTCTGTTCTTCTCAGAATGTGGACGAAGCAACCTCAGCCCGGATTGCGCTGGAGAGGCAGCTGGAAAATCTGGAGGTTCAACTCTCTTTCCTGCAGAGAGTTCACAAAGAGGTAACACATAGCTGCCTCGTGGTTGGCATGTCATTCATATTCCCCATCAGTGGTTTAACGGGCTGTAAATTTGCTGGTTATTGTCAAATCCAGCTCGTGTTGATGGACAGAGTGAGTAAGACCATAAATATTGTAGTTATCTATTTGGTGTGAAAACTTCAGAGGAAGTCAAACAGACAAGTTCTGATTTATCTGTGGGGCAGAGTGGTAGATTTGCTTTCATAGAATTGAAAATGTTCCTAGCTCATTTAACTGTCCCCCACCCGTGTTTGTTTTTGTTCTACTGAAAGGAAATTGAGGAGTTGATCCTGCACATCTCTTCAGCATCCTCTGAATCTGACTTCATGTTTGGCCTCCCAGACCTTTCCCCTGCCCTAAAACAGATTCAGTCTCAGTACGACAGCATTGCTGCCAAAAACCTGGAGGTAAGTGGCATTGATGAAGCTGAAGTATGCCCCGACTCTGGAGAATTTGTCTCTAGATCTCTTTGCATCTCATTCTGTGTTGTCCAGGAAATGGAGACCTGGTATAGAACCAAGTTTCAGGACCTTGATAACACCTCCAGTGAACATATTCAAAGAGTCCGAAGTATGAGAGAGGAAATTGCTGCCTATAGGAAGAATGTGAGTGTTACTTTCTGTTCTTCTTGTGGTTCATTCTGCAACTTTTCTGGATACTCAGTGTACATATGCACAATTAGATCCTAGACAAAGAACATGAACTGGAGGTACTGAAGACAAGGAATGAGTATTTGGAGGCCCAGATCCGTGACAGATTGGAGAAATATAAGAATGAAGAGAAGGGCTTAGAGGTAACTAACTGACTGACTTATAGAGATATTTTTTGTCATCCTTTGGCCTGATCACAACAAAAAACATACACCTCTGATGTAATTTCAACAGGAGCACATTGAGGGAATTAAAGTGCATTTGAAGGTGAGCAAGGAAAAGACTGCTCTGCTGCTGCGAGAATATCAGAACCTCCTGAATGTCAAGATGGCTCTGGAGATTGAGATCGCCACCTACAGGTGAACAAGCATTACAATAGGTTTTAAGCACTTAGAACACTTAAACTGTTAATGTGCACACACACAGATGTGGGTGTATGGCTTTTACATCAAGTAGAAAATAAATAGTATTATGCAAAAGTCTTGAGACACTCCTTTTTTTCTTTACAGTTTGCTTCCAAAGAAACAGATTTCCCTTCTAATTTTCTCAAGGCTTTGTGAAGGTTTTCAATGTTTTTCTTTGGACATTGCCACCCTTTTTCACTAATTTTCAGTCCAGTTCTTGTACCTGTCCTTATTTGGTAAACCACGTAACACTGACCTATTAATCATTCATTTACAACTCATAAATGAAGCCTCATTAGAAATGGCCTTAGTGGAAGGGTGGCTGTCAAGAAGGAAAACAGGAAGAAAAGGTGGAGGTATGCAAAATTACACAAGATGTGGAAAGAAAATCGGGCAACAGATCAGATGGATGTAAACCGGTAAAACTTTGGTTCAAATTGTCATCAGTTTTCCTTTCTTTTTTTGTATGTTTGTGTGTTAGAAAACTGATTGAGGGGGAAGACAGCCGATTGGGCACCATGGTCCAAAGCCTTTCCTTGACTGGAGGCTTGCAACTTCCTTCCAGTGATAGCAAATGTGCTCTCTCAGCACCTTCAAAGCTGGGTGGATCTTTGAGTGATACAAGCGGTAACAGCACTGAGAGAGCTGCAGGTGCTGGCCGAATAGCAGCAGCCTCATCAGACATCCAGGCTGATGGTAACTTAGAGAAGCAGGCAACAGTGATGTCCAAGAGAAAGACGGTCCTCATCAGGTAGAGGATGACTTTGGCACGGAATGCATGACACATAAAACCTGTAACATTTTCAGCCAGATCTCTAGTGACTACACAGTAATCATATTATTCTGTCTGATCTCCCCTTTCCCAGAACAGTTAAGACAGATGAGGACATTTACGAAAGTGACACACAGGAGTGCACCATCGTCATTTCCGGAGCAGCTGATGATACAGATGAAGAATAAACCCCCAGCTCTGTGATTCTTTTTGAGTACATCTGGTGTGCCGTCATCACTCCGCTCTGCCTGGTCCTAACTCGCTCTCAGCCTCTGCTTATTTAACCCTCCTGTGTGACATGAGCATGTCACTGAAAGTAAGAAAAATGAACAGCAAGCAAAAATAGTTGTGGTTGTCAATTCAATCATAGAATTCTATCAGTGTTACTTCACTGTAATTAAAAAAACCCCACTCTCCTTTTTTTCATTATTTAATTCAAATAATAGCAGCAAAGCCGATTCAACAGTCATTATGTAAACTTACATGATTTAATGAAAATTAAGGGAATTATTTAAAATAACTGTTCACAAATATCTGGGACCAAGTGAAATGACCACCCACATTAAAACCAGCTGTTTGACTGTTTAAATTTTATATACACACACACACACACACACACACACACAATTCCCCCAACCTTTATTAATTCCCCTGATGTGTACCCCATCATCAGAGTGACAGAAATACAAAGAAAATAAGGACAATATAAAATCATTTGGTATCACCTGACTCTAAAAAAATAAAAAATAAAATAATGATCAGCAATTCTGTAATTCTGATCGATCAATATGGTGTGTTTGTGTGATTGTGGTTCTAATGCAATGGTTTGGGTTCATCCCCAACTCCTCCAGCAAGGCGATACACTGCAAGGCTGACTTCATGTGCCAGGGCGTCAGCACTCTCCTGAAACAACACAGAGCCAGAGTATTATTCACAAAACCCTTCCCTTCCAGATATTTTTTAACCTCAGTAAAACTGGCATGAGAATCAATAACAGAGAAAACTTGGAAAATAGATTTCTCACCTGCGTGTCTGCCTCTGCATATACTCTCACCACATCCTCGGTGCCAGAGGGCCTCACGAAGGAGCGAGCCTGTTTGTACTTCTTCACTAAATTGTCGATGGCCTCCTGCAGGCCTGCTGGGGTCACCGCCCGCCTCTCTGCATCTGTTGTGTCTATCACCCTGCGGTCCGCCACCTACACAAAAAAAGAAAAAGAAAAAAGATCACCCTCAGGAGCCACTATCTCTAACTCGCTTGAAGTAGACACAGACACTCTACTATGTGCAGGGTTATAGTAGACAAACATTTATCTAAAAAAATAAAAGCCTCCTTAGTTTGGTTCGGCATTGCTGTATCATACTATGGAATAAATTAAATGTAAAGTGCGTATTTCTTTCTATCAGTCACACTTTATATCCTGGATATAATACATAACTATACAATATGAGCACCTTGACTTTAAGTTGCCTATTTGGCAGGTCGGTATAGATGGTGTCCCACTGCTGGATAGTCATTCCTTTGATGGCCAGTATGGCTTCAATCAGCAGCATGTCAGAAATGGCATCTCCTACAGTCTTTAAAAGAAAATATCAACGTTAACAACAGAGCTCCATTGTCTGCATGAGCTCAGTTCAACATTGATGTCAGCGTGAGCGTGCCTGGTTGATGACGTTGATCGTGTTTCGCAGCAGGAGAGCTGCTTTCTTCCTCTCGTCGTTGACGTTTGTGTCCTCAGCCAGCTGCTGGATTTTCTCTTCAGCTGCCTTGCTGAACAACACCTGATCCAAACACAAACAAACGCAGGATGACACATTACTTCTGATTTTTAGCCTTACAGGTGATTTTCAGTGCATTTAAATATGTGTGCATATGTGTGTACTCACTGTTCCGTGGCCATTGGCCTCAAAGTACACACCGACATCAAACTCCTGGGCTACATGGTGAAGATGCTTCACTCCAGTCTTCGTACACCTCACTAAGACCTAAGTGTCAAATAAATCTGTGAGAACCGTCCTCTCCATATAAATACTAAATAAAACACCTGAATTCTCTGTGGAATTTTTTTTGTCACCTTCATTGTGTTCTCCAGATAGTGTGTTGAACTTCCATTAGCATAAGCAGTTTGCACTACTGCTATCTTCAAGTCTAGTCCAGCCTGTGCATTCCAAGGGAGAAAAAATACAAAGAACAGCGATTCTTGGTAAGTGCGTGCCCGTATGTCATTTACATGATTTTTTTTTTTTTTTAGAGTATACCTGTGTGAGCAGCTCTTTGAGAAAAGTGCTGATGAGGGTAGCCATCTTGTCTCCATCCAGCAGGTGAAATGTTCCTTCAGAGTCCGTGTAGTAATAAACTATTCGATCGGCGTCGCCATCAAAGGAACAGCATCGCTCTCCTGGGTTAATCTGAATGCCTTCATGTGAGAATGCAAGACAGGTCTCGCATATTAAAACGATTACAGTACATTCAAGTAATTTAACTGGCCCTATGCGCACCTGTTGGGGGTTTTTGCTGCACCTTCACATAGTCGGCTCCGCACTGGTGGTTCAGCCTTCCTTTGCTGCCATCATTATTAAGAGAAATTTGTAGCTCTTTCTTCAGGTGACTCTCCATCTCACGTACCTTCAGAGCCCCGATGCCATTAGCGCCATCCAGGCAGAGGTGCTTCTGGTCATCCGTACGGTTGGACGTCTAATGGAAAGAAAAACATGGAGGAGAGAAAGAAAGGAGTAGTTCCTGGATGAATGAATGTATCATAAAACACGTTGACACAAACAAACAAAGAGTGACTGAATGCAAGCGCAAAATAACACACGACACACTTCTGCTTCTTACATTCTTGGTGAGCTGAATGAAAGCTTGGCAGAATTTAGTGTAGTATCCTTCCACTGTGGCCTCTCCATATTTACCCTGCGTGTTTTGACAGCAGACCATGTAGTGAAGCTGAGGGGTGGTCACCAAACCATAGTCTGAAAGGACAGATGGAAAGGATAAAAAGGCAGATAAGGAGCCAGAAGAAGAACCAACAATAATAGAACAAAAACAAAAACAAAAAAGCCAAGCAAAGAAGGAAACTAATACATTGCAAAGCATATATTTTAATGCAACCCAGCTGAGGGCCAGCCAATCACAGGAATATCTTTTAGGTATCCACTTCTCTTACCTTTGCTGTGACCACCAAGAGCAGAAACTCCATCCAGTACTGCTTGTGAAAGGCTGGCACTGCTGCTCCTACAGGCAGAGGACACGACTGTAAAGAAGCTATTCTACTCATACACACAGGTTTATATTTGATCAGTTTTTGATTTATTTGTTTGTAGTAAGACATTATACCTAGTATCTTTTCCCACAAACACATTAGCCTCCTGGCTCATGTTAATGGCCTCCTTTTCTATAATGTTCTTCAGAGCAGTGAGCAAGTCTTCCTGATCTGCATTGGCCAGCTGGGTGGCATGCTCCTCCCAGTCCTGTGTCACCATCTCGCCCATCGGGTCAACGAGCTTCACACCGTTGTCTTCCTACACAAGTACAGACATGATGAGACAAAAAAGGAATGGGCTAAAGTTGTAATTTATGATGAAAATAAACCATAGCTATTTGCGCTTATGAATCCCTCTAACCTCTGGGTTGTGCGATGCAGTGACCATGACACCGATGGTTGCTTTGGTCTTTTTGGAGCGCACTGTGGCCAACAGACCCATCCTGAACATGATGTGGTCCAGCTGTTTGGCGTTGGTCCTGAAGCCAGAAGTACCATACTGCAAAACAAGCCCTACGGGCTTCGGGTGCAAAGCGGACAGCTTTGATATTTCTTGAAATTCGGCCATTGCTGAAACATATCAGAAAAGCATCAGTGGCAGAGAAAGTGTTAAGATCTTCCTTAAAAGCCCCGCCATGTTAACCTTACTTGAATTATAACATGTACAGTTATTATTATGCAATAAAAGCAAGGGATTCAAGCTACCGATGCATACCATAACACTTATCAAAAAAAATGATTATCTGTTTATTAACAGATAATTTTTAAAATAAACTCTTTAACAAACAATGGACTATTTAGAGGAGTTCTGAAGATCTCTAAAAGTTCCCTGATATTGTTTTTAAAGAAGGAATACTCGAAAAATGTTCTTTGGAGAATTTTGTACAAGTCTTTGTTATTAAAGAATGTTCCCTTTGAAGTTTGTCTTTAAAGTTTCACAAATTAATTTTGAATGAAAGTTTTATGATGGTTAAATGAAGGTTTTACAAAACAAACCCTCAGAGAACATTCCTAAAAAAAAGAAAATTGCAAACACTAAATTTGTAGGAAACACTCTACGCATCTTCTCTCAAGACTCTTTTTCATAAAGTCCTAGAGGGAATCTTCAGGGTGTGCTCCCTCTAAACAATAGTTTTCACAAAATAATTTCTGGGTAACTCCTCAGGTAGTGTTCCCTGGAGGTTCCTGAAGCCTCTCTGAAGGTTTCAGAGAATTACATTTTTCAGGGAACCTTTGCTAAAAAGGTTCTTCACATTTTTTGTGAAGAAAAAAAGAATTCCTTTTACAGAAGTTTGCACTGCCAGATTAGTAAATCCAGCATACACTTTAGCTGTATTAAACAGAACTATAAAACCAAATTCATTGGAGTAATAAAGAACATCTTATTCAGAAAAGCAATGTTGTAAAATCGGTAGAAACGAGAGGTATGAATGTCATCGAGCTTGAAGTAACTCATGTACTAAGTACTATGTTAAAATGGTTGGAGCATTTGTAAAAAATTAACATTATGGTTTAGTATCCTGGCATATCTTTTACAAAAAGCTGGAGGAATAACATTAATGTTGATGTAATTAAAAGTTAGTTAAGTTTCAAGTTTTCTGATTATCACGCTGTTAATTAAGTTACATAGACACTGTTCATTAATGGTTGTCGTAGAAAAAAAAAAGCATTTCCTGTGTTAGAATATGATATGATTAAGTTTCGGGTTTCTATAAAGAGCCAAGGTGGAATTTCGTTGTGTAAGCCTTTTGATTATTGGAAAGTTTTATATTTATAAGTGTAGTTTTGTTTATTCCAAGTTTTTCTGCATTTAAAAATTATGCAATTTATCTTCAGTGTATAAAATGATTGGAAAAGAGGAATGCTTTAAAACAGAAATACTTGGAATGAGTTAATTTAAGGTACTTCATTTATTTGTTTATATTCTGTTTTTCTTTGCTGGCTGGAATATTTGATGAACATGTTTGACAGTAATGCCTGTTTGTTTACTTGAAGGCAGTTTAGTAAAAGGATAAATAAATAAATAAATAAAAAAATAAAAAAATAAAAAAATAAATAAATAAATAAATACAATTTTGGCTCTAGCAAAGGTAATACCACCTGTATATGTTATGTGTGTGTGTGTGTCCCAGCTTTACTGTTTGAACATATTTGCAAAACAAGCCTAGCAAACCATGAAGGTTATTACTATAAATAATGGTTCGCTAATCGTAATTTGGGTAAAATGTTTTAATTAGTCGTGATTTTGATTTGAGGTCACATGCCCAAGCCCTGGTCTGGAAATGCTTACTTTATTAAAATGCTGTTTATCATATTTAACCATATTTAATAGGCTAAAAACACGGCGACTGGACTAAACACTGACAGCGCTTAATGAGGGCAAAGTATAAAGCTCAATAAAATGAAGCACAACAAATGAATGGCAAAGAAAGTTACGTGCTTCTCCCAAGTAAAATAAGTTACATAAAATCGTCTCAAGCCACATAAACCAAGAGACTACAATAAACGCGTTGTGTTTAAACCAAAGGTTGCGCTGTGCAGCAGATTCGCTTAATTTTAATTTACTTACTGTTGTGTTTTCTGAAGTATCTCCACTACAGTGCAGTCAGTGAAAAGCTTCCTGGATCTAGGTTCCTCCTTCTCCCTTCTCACTGGAGACGTGGCTTCATTTCCGCGTACGTCACGTGTTGCGAATACACAGCGCATGCTCAGCCAGAGTCGAGAGTTGTTGTTTTTTTGTTCCTTTTTTATACTTTACTGTCGGTACATTTTATTTTCCTAATTATCGTATTTTTTTTTCAGCTCATTTTCACAATGAGAAAGAAAACAAAAACAAAAGTAAAACAACACAGAAGTAAAACAAAATCAAAACACACAAGTGATACAACTGAGGGTTCTATTTAGAGCTCTGCAGAGCACTGGATCGTGACGTCGCCGACGTCATGCATTATAGTGCCCTGACTGGGCACCTCCCGTACACTTCATATCAGACATCTCTTTCATGGGTACAGGCTGCAGGACAGCTGCGAAAGCAAAATCTTTATTCCTTTGTTTCCGGAAAGCCAGCTTTTGAAATGCGACAATGAAATCTGGGTAGGATTTTACACCTCAGACACACAGAAGTCTCTGCGACTCCCTCTGACTGGCATCACCACAAGCCCTTCCACTTGCTGCTGCACCAAAACATGAAGTGTTGTAATGAAACACTGTACCATAATAAAATACATGAAAAACAATTTAATTATGAATTACTCTAATTCTGAAAGATTCACTGTACAGTTTAGTGTAACTATAGTGTAGAAACGTAAGGGCATTATGACACTGCAATATTAAAATTCCAAGTAAAACCTTTTGCCTAATAAAGATGTATGTGGTGCTATAAGATGTAAAATTATAAACTGGAAAAGAAAAGAAATATGTAAACCTGCAGCATTAAAAATACCAAGTAAAAAGAAACTATGCAAAGTGTCTTTGCAGGGCCAAAGATCCAAAAAATGTTTTTCTGCATGAGTCACAGAGCCAAGCCTCACTGGTTGCCTGACTGAGTCCCACAAATGTTTTGTTGAGAAAATGTTGCATTCTGTGTTGATCTTATAGTAAAGAATGCTAGTAACCCAGCTTCTACATTTAAATCAGCATTATGGGTGGGTAAGCACTGTACATCTGTGTGGTTTTAAAAGCATTTTATGAATGTCTGTGTACTTGAAATGGTTTGGCCTGTAAGAAAGGGGAAAGAGTTGCTGAACTAATAAAGTTTAGCCTATATGAAAGCAGGAAAAAAATGTCAACTGTGTGAGTTAAAAGTTTCAAGAGTCTAGACTTTATTGTCATTATGCAAGCATAATAAAATGAAGGCAATACTTCTTCACACAGTGCAATAAAACTTAGATAAGCTAAATATACTGACATAATATGAATATAAACAATATATATAAACATAATTTATGACATGCGTTAAAATGTATAGTTTGAATAAGTGTGTATATGTCTACTCATAACTATATACAACCATTCCAGGTGACGACCCCATGAAGCTCATTAAGAAAATGCCAAGAGTGTGCAAAGCAGTAATCAAAGCAAAGAGTGGTTATTTTGAAGATCTAAAACATGTTTTGAGTTATTTCACACTTTTTTGTTTCTGCATAATTCCATATGCTTTAAGTGAAAATCTACACTGTAATAGTTATCAAAATATAGAAAAAACATTAAATAATTAGGTGTGTCCAAGCCTTTTACTCATATTATATTTAAATATATGTATGTGTGTAGTTTCACACCTACTGATCACTAATTCGGCAGCGTAAGTCACCATGGCAATTTAGCCTGGCAAGAAGTGAATCCAGGGTCAACCTTGAAGTTACCTGGATAAGCCCAAATCTGACTACAGGCTGGTGTCCATCTTTTATTAAAATAATTATCTTGTTAATAATTAAATTAAAAAACCTAGCCTAAATAACAAGAACACAAACAAGATTCACAATATCAGATAAGCCAAGGGCTCATAATAGCAGCATAAATGACTAACTTTGGTTTTACGTGAACAACAACATGGCCGGGTCTACCCAGAATGCATCGTGATTATCGAGCTCTCTGGCAGAGTTGAGCTACAAGCAAATACGATAACTCACCATATGGCATACATCCCCAATATCATCTGCTCTGAATACAAAATACGTGATGTTCCCAAATACAAAACAAAAAAATATTGTGATCAGTAGTTTTTTGTGGTTTAACATGTGATTAAAAATACCTCTGCCGATCACATATTTAAAAGGAGCCTGCTTAGAGCAGGGATTGTTTCACCTTCATCATCTGTCACTCCGCGTGATCTACGAGCAGCCCCGGTGGGATACAGCCCACATGCAGCAGCTAGTATGCCACCATGACGCTGGTGTATTAACCCTTTGGCGCAAATTGATAGCGATTTCTGTACTGTGACCCCCCCATGCCCACACCCCTTTAAGAGACGTGGTGATGCGACGTGTGTCACCCAACCCTGTCCGAGAAGCTGCCGAGAGGAGAGTCTGGATGGACTTGTAGACAGGTCAAATAAATAAACAAACCACAGGGGGAAGGGGAAAAGGAAATTCCCTCCTCGCTTTTCCTGTTCCCGAGCCTCTTGCGCTGCGCAGTGTTGGCGACGGGAAGCGGTGCGCAATTTTCTATCTGAGGAAAGGACCACAGCCTGAAACGGCATTTCCGAGCCGAGACTGACGGATCAAAGAGGAAAGAAAAGCCGCAATCTGACGACCTGCTTTGCACTGCGGGTTCTTCGTTTATTCAAAAGCTTTTTTTTTTTAATGCAACAACGAAGGAGGGAAAGGGAGCCAAAACCGGTGTTCCCCCCCAACAGGGACATTTGACCGACTTATGCAGCGCTGATTTATATACCTTATTTTTCAGAAACACTGTTCTACGATTAGACGAGTCTATTCCATTGCTGGAATAAATTTCACCGGGTTGAGAAAATAGCTTTCGTCGCCAGCTTGTTACATAACCGAGTGGCTTTAGCTCTCCAAGGTGCTGAAGTGAACGGTCGGAGCCTATAACAGAACGAGCCGCCGGGAATTCACAACCTTGCGTAAGTCTACTCATGCAACGGCGAATATTAACAACGTGACCACACGATTTACTGCGAAAATAACATTTATCCAGCTCATTTTCTCTGCTTTCCCCCCACCCCCTCCCACACATAAGGTCGCAGGCCTATATTATCTGGGAGAGGGACGCACTCATCTCACTGAACCGCAGGGAAGAAGCTGGGTTGTATTCGTATTTCCCCCCCTCCCCCTCACCGTCCTGTGGTGAAATAAATTCCTGAGGAGGTCGAAACAACTAGGAGAAAATGTCGGGGCAAACGCTCACGGATCGCATTGCCGCTGCGCAGTACCAGCTAACGGGATCGGATATGGCCCGGGCTGTCTGCAAAGCCACCACTCACGAAGTGATGGCGCCCAAGAAAAAGCACCTGGAATGTAAGTGTGGCCCTCATCCTCACTGCACTGACTGTAGCTTTATAGGTCCTAGGCCTTACATATTACACAGCCACACACGCAGACCATGCCAGCATTATGGGCTTGTTCGTTCCGTTTACTTAAATGGGTGTGCTGCAGGATATAGTAGCCATGGTGATGACCCCCTCTGTTGACCCTTTGTGTCCAGCGAAGATGGTGGACACCCAGGGAGAAAGAAGGAGAGATTGGGAAGGAGAAACATGTATGATTTTAAGGTAGTTTGACAGACCCATTTAAGTTTCCCTCCCCCTGCTGTTTCAAGGCCACTTTCTTTTACTCCATGCTGAAACCGACTGTAACCGAGGTGGTGCAGCGTACAGGAGCCTGTGCACTAACTGGGTTAGAGTGGAGCCATTTAAGACCAATAAAGTCACAGCTGAATTAAATTACGAACCTCACAGCTTCATTGACACATCTACAGATGACAGCAGGAGCCACCTCCACAAATCATCATTACCACAAACACTGAGTCAACCCAAAGCAGTGGCACTGCTCTGGATAGTTTGATTGGCTCTTTTTCTTGTATGTCTGCCTGTGTGTTTTCCAAGGGTGTGTGTGTGTGTGTGGTCAGGTCTAGTCTGGTTCTGTGTCTTCTGCTAGGACTTTATATCTTGTGATCCACTCCCCTGCTGAATAATTTAAAAATCAGCCAATGGCTGTCTTGCATAATTTACAAAGCCAAAGGTGACAATGCAAAAGCTAGACTACACCAGAGAGCATTGTTTCCTCATTCTCTGCTGCTCCATGTGATAGTTTCAGTGTTTCTAGCTTTCAGTGGTGCTGATTTGGACATGTGCATGTGTGGACGTGTTGGGAAAACCTTTACCGGCACTGCTTGTAGCCTTTTTGTCCAAGGACATAAAACTGCTGCAGACATGTAGAGATTTCTCTATATATTTTCATTTAGTAAGCTATAACATAAACATGTGTCTTTTATTTCCATAATCAAATAGGTTATACTGGGTCTATTTCTAGGGTAATTCAACAGGGCAGTTCAACAGACTTCTGGTATGTAGGCCACTGTGCCTCTGCTGCAGTCTTGGCTGGAGGAAATTCCTCACCTCAAAACAGTAAAACACATTTTCACTATGAAGACCTATGAAGAACCACACATAGCAAAAAAATCTAATAAACAACTAAAGGCTCACTAGGGTAATTTTTAATGATCAAAACATTTCTAATTAGCTAGCTTTCAGTGTTTTTGATTAATAATATTAAATATATTATGCAACTACAGTTTTTAGTTATTGCTTGGTGATTATTAGGGTTATTCAATGCTTGACATGCATGTGTAGCGGTGGTTGTGCAGTGCAGTTGCCAAGGGAACAGATTAATAGTGTCAGGGGGCAGTGTAATGACAGAAGGGGACTCTGAGAAGAAAGAGTGGAAATGACAGGCCTGTCATCACTAGACTGCAGAGGAAATCACAATGGATGTGTAGCTATTAAACTGAGATATTTGTTTTGGTCTTTCAGTACAGTTAACTGTCTGACCTTTTTAGTGACATGGTCCACTTTTATGAGAACAAATTACTGATTTGATTGTCTTCAGCAACATAATAAGTAGCCTTAGAAGAAGCAGGTGTGTAAATATGGATTAGTAAGAACATACAGGTGCCTTTCCACCCATGAATAAACTACAAACTAAAAGCTCAAAATGTTATGTGCTTTTCCTTTGGAGCAAAAATCGCCTTGTCTTTTGACTTAGATGTCTGTGTTTGATTTTATTATGAAACGGGCTGGGGTTAAATGACACACTGCATTGAATTTTGTATTTCTGGTTTGTCTAGTCATGCATGGTTATGGCAAACATAGTGAAAGAAACAATGGAGGGCATGTACAGAGTTAATGTATCCACCCAAGGTCAATGAAAGAGTAGCATTTTCTCATCACCACAGGCACTGATTGTCTGTTTTTTAAAGGTCAAATTGGTATAAAAATTGCTGTTATGAAGAGTGTCCCAGTGTTCTTACCTGATCTAGAACTATGTCATACGAGCTTTAGATTATTCAGTCAGTAGTTTAGTACCTGAGTCAGCCTGGCTCTTTCCAGATGTAGAACACGTGCCCACCGGCATCTATAAACTTCACAAACTAACATTTTACATCTCCTTGATTTAAAGATGCAATTCATAAGTGGAAGGGGTTGCTGGATAAATGATATGACCTCACTTATATGCTGTGTGGGCCAGTCCTTGGTATTGCCTATTGTCAGTGACTCTGGGAGGGGGCATCTAAATCTTGTGTGAGGAAGTATAAATGCAGGAAGAAACCAAACTGCTAAGACGTCAGACATCATTAAGTTTATGTTTTTTTCATTGACTGTCTTTCATTCAGCATGATTAAAAAGAGTAAAGAATCACAGACTGTAAAAAAAAAAAAAAAATCCTCTCCGGACAACATTGCTATTCCGTCACCTGGTGCTAGCTAATTAGCATGCTAACTTAAGCAGACAGTGCAATATACTAACTTACATATTTGACAACTTCAACATACTGTAATGTCCTATTTTTTTTAATTCTTCACAGTCTGTTTAGTTAGATTAAGTTTCTAAACAGTGTTTTAAAGAAACACTGTATATATTGAAAGTGGAATATTGCTATTTTCAGATTGCAGAGTAACATGGAAGAGGCTTTATGGTGTAGTGGATTATAAGTGAAAGATCCCTGGTTTGATGCAGACCCAAAGGGAAGAGACACAACTTCCTTTTGCATAAAAATTCTGCCAACTCAAACAAATGGAGCTACTTGCTGTAGGGAGTGTGTGGTGTGGGAGCACTAACTTCCTAATTTCCTGTTGTCAGCGTGAGATGAATTTACTAGCTTTGGCTAATTTTGATGTATTTAGATAAAGCAAGGCTAGAAAGTTTTCCCCTGTTTTGAGAACTTATGCTAACCTGTGCTAACCTTCAAATATCTTTATCCATGCACTGTATTTCACATATAAACATTAGAGTACTGGTAGAATAGAATAGAATAATCCTTTAATTGTCCCACAAGGGGAAATTTGGGTGTAACAGCAGCAAGAAAGACACATATACAAACAAACAGTACACAAGACACAGAACAGAAACATACACAATTTTTACATATTTACATCAACGACAATGGTTACCAAAAACAGAGTACTGTACCTTTATTAAATTAAATAAAATTTAATACAGATCAGAGGCAAACCGTGGTTATAGTGTGAATCGGTTGATAAAATAGTGTCATGTTACAGCGCTGATGTAAACATCTATGTTTGTTGGGAGCAGTTCTGATTGTACAGTCTGACAGCTGCAGGGAGGAAGGACCTGCGGAAACGCTCCTTCATGCGTCGAGGATGCAGCAGTCTGTCACTGAAGCAGCTCTGCAGTTCAGTAACATTTACATGCATGGGGTGGGAGACTCTGTCCATCAGAGATGTTATTTTGGCCAGAGTCCTTCTGTCTCCCCCCACCTGCACTGGGTCCAGGGTGCATCCCAGAACAGAGCTGGCCTTCCTAATGAGTTTATCCAATCTCTTCCTCTCAGCTGCCGATAAACTACTGCTCCAACATACAACACTGTAAAAAATGACAGATGCCACCACAGAGTCATAGAAGGTCTTTAAAAGCGCTCCCTGGACTCCAAATGACCTCAGCCGCCTCAGCAGGTAGAGTCTGCTCTGACCCTTCCTGTAAAGAGTATCAGTGTCGTGGCTCCAGTCTAGCTTATTATTCAGGTGACCACCCAGGTACTTATACGAGTCCACTATCTCAATGTCCACTCCCTGGATGTTCACCGGTGTCAGTGTGGTGGGTCTGCATCTCCGGAAATCCACCACCAACTCCTTGGTTTTCCTGGCATTGATCAGCAGGTGGTTCTGCTGGCACCAGTCCACAAAGTCCAGTCCACTGTCTGTACTCTGAGTCATCCTCACCTGTGATGAGGCCGACTATGACAGAGTCGTCAGAGAACTTCTGTAGGTGGCAGCGTGGGGAGTTGATGGAGAAGTCTGCAGTGTAGAGGGTGAAGAGGAACGGTGCCAGCACAGTTCTCTGTGAGGCCCCCGTACTGCAGACCAGCGTATCAGAGACACAGCCCTGTGACATCACATACTGTGGGCGTTCTGTGAGGTAGTCCAGAGTGGTGGTCCACTCCCGATAGCTCCAGCTTGTCTCTCAGAAGTCGTGGCTGGATGGTGTTGAAAGCACTAGAGCAATCAAAGAACATGATCCTCACAGTGCTTTCAGGCTTCTCCAGGTGAGTCAGAGCTCGGTGCAGGAGGTAGATGATGGTGTCCTCCACCCCGATGCCAGGCTGGTAAGCAAACTGCAGCGGATGAAGACCTCGCCAGGAGGCGCAGATGGTTTAGAACCAATCTCTCGAGGGTCGTCATCAGATGTGATGTCAGGGCTACCGGCCTGTAGCTGCTGAGGTCCTTGGGATGGGAGATCTTTGGTACCGGTACCGGAGAAGACTCTTCTTCTCCTTGAGGACAGCCTTTATTTCAGGATTTATCCATGGCTTGTTATTAGAAAAACACCGTACCTTTATGATGGGTATGGTGTTGTCCACACAAAAGTTCATGTAATCCGTAATGCGGTCTGTGATGCTGTTGAGGTCATCCTCCAAAGGGCTGCAGAGGTTGTCCCATACAGTAGAATGGAAACAGTCCCTCAGGGCCTCTTCAGTCTCTGCCAACCATTTCCTAACTGTGCATTTCACAACTGGTTCTCTGTGTACTAAAGGTTTATACACAGGCTGGAGATGAACCAGGTTGTGATCTGAGCCCCCCAGGGAAGGGAGAGGTGATGAGCTGTATGCCTCCTTGGTGTTAGCATACAGTAAGTCCAATGTTTTATTGTCTCTGGTGTGGTAGGTGACATACTGGGTGAAGGCGGGGAGAGTGGAGGATGGGGAGATGTGATTAAAGTCCCCAGAGATCAGGAAAAGGGCCTGAGGATGCTGTGTTTGGAGTCTGCTGGTTACAGTGTGCAGGATCTCACAGGCTGCTGCAGCGTTAGCAGAGGGCGGGACATACACAGCTATCATAATGACGTGTGTAAACTCTCGCGGTAAATAGTGCGGTCTCATGCTAACCGCTAGCAGCTCAATGTCCTTACAGCCTAGCGTCTCTTTGATAGATAAATGACCAGAGTTACACCATCTATCGTTCACAAACACAGCCAAACCCCCTCCTCTCTTCTTACCACTTTTCTTTTTTATGTTTGCCCGGACCAGATGGAAACCATCTATGTTTATGTGTGAGCCCAGAGTTAGCGTGGTTAGCCACGACTCTGTGAAGCACATCACGCTGCATTCCCTGTAGCTCCTCTAATGTCGGGTTAGAGCCGCCAGTTCATCCATTTTTTTGGGGAGCGATCTCACGTTCCCCATAATAACAGATGGAATCGCTGGCCGGTACCTCCTAACCTTACTGCGACGCCCAATCCCGGGCCGAGTGCCGCGTCTCTTCCTCCTCACCTATCGGGGGATGTTGGCTCGCTTGGCGGTAGGCAGAACAGCGGAGGCCCCGAGGGCTAACAGCTGATCCCTGCTGTAAACAATTGGCGGTCGGACCTCCACGCGCTCTCCGGACACAGATGCCGTAAAAAATGTGATAAAAAACACGATTGTCCATAAAATTCTGAGCTTCATTGTGGAGTAGTACAGTCCTCAATAAAAAAAATCAAGAACAAGAAACTCAATAACAACAAAAAAAGAGAAAAAAGGACTCGGTCAGGAATCCATGGTACCTTCTGTCAGCAAGTTAGATGTTTCCCAAAATGTTAGCTGATTAAAACATTCTGCTAAGTGGTGCAGTGAGGTCCCATATGAGATACTGGTCACATTAAAAGCTCCTTATTTTACTTTTATTTACCATAGAGATTGTAATGTTTAGCTAGCTGTATATGCTAGGTCTGAAATTTATGTGTTATATATTTCCATTGAACAACCGCCTAAAGTATTATTGATAGCATTATAAATCTACACATGTAGCACAGCAAGCAGATGTGTTCTGCTTACCATTATCTAGAATATTCAGGCTGGTGCACGATTTTGTTGTGTAACTGTAAAACTCATTCCTCAGACTAAGATGTAGGGTAGAAAACGCACTCCGAGACACTGTGGTGCAGAGAAATACACAGTGTGAGGCCTCGCAGTTCATTCTTAGAACTCGTGGATTACCGTAAGAGTCTTTATTTAGCTCAGCCAATCCTCATTATGCACACATAGGCACACCAGTTGTATGTCAGTGTGTGTTTGTTTCGGGTTATGGTACCACAACACGGCAGCATGGATTACAACCCGTGATATGGCTAATATGCCAACATAGCTAACATCCATAAACGGATGAGATTATGTATGTAAATTGATATCTATTATGAGCTGGACATCTGAGAAAATGGCTCTTGGTTAGTGCTGTGCTCATGCTGCTAATAGAAATCTAAACTTGTAGCTGTGCCAGTGACATGATAATGTTATATAATCAAATGTCAGCCATTGTGGATCCTGACTCTGTTTGTGTGTGTTTGAAAAAGCTTCAGGACAATCTTTAACAAAACATAGAGTATATTCAAATACGGGAGGGGGATGATTGGTTGAAATGATAAAAAATGAGAGAAGATTTTCTTTAACATAGACTAAATGACACTAAAGTGGGAAAATGGAGACTAAATCATATCTAAACATGTACAGTGGAATGACTGATGTCACCCCAACCTTCATTAAAAACATAAGACATCTTTGGAGCAGCTGAAGTGTCGCTGTTACCATCTGGTGAAGCTGTACAGATGGACTGGGGTGTAATTAGTTCAACAAAGATCAAAGGAAGAGCTGTGATCATCACTGTGAACCAGCTAAAACACATTCATGGAGCACATCCACCTGCTGTTTATTTTCATTTTGTCCGGTTCGTTTTGTGCTAAGATCATCAGTTCCATCAGATTATCAGTGAGACATCCTACAACACCACAGACAAAAAGCTGATAATGAAGACGTGTTAGGTGATGAGCAGTGTGTAGAACAGGGTGTGTGAGGTGTAGCAACCAACCACAACAGAAAAGAACAGGATCAGTGATTAGTAATAATCTGTTTACAGCACCCCAAGCATTAAAACCCCCAACCCCCCAACCAGCCTGTTGTCTGGACCCTGAGCAGCTTCATTGCTCAAACTCGTATATCGCTTCTTTTATTGCACACTCATCTGACTCCCTACTGTTCTCTTCCTTCTTGTCATCCCTTTTCTCATCACCTTGCAGACTTGTGGTCTGGTTTAATTTATAGTTTGCTCTCTACCTATTTGAAACAAGCTCAAGGTCTATTGAATACAATGGCCTTCCACTCCCTCCATTATCACAGATGTCTGCCAATATTTGCTGCATTTCTTTCTGTATGGATGCACTCAGTTGTGTCCTTGTTGTTCAGATGCCAATGTCAGCAGGACACAAAACAATGTACAGGTACACTATGCTATGTTTAAGCGAGCAAGAACATATAAAACGAAATGTTCATCTGTTCTACTGCCACAGTGAGCACATATACAAAATCTACCAATGGATACATTTCTTCATTTACACTTCATAAATGCCTGTCAGTGCCCTCTCAAAGTGTTACTTCTTCTGTTTCAACTAAACTTTTTGTGCCTACTTTTCAGCCGCATGCCATATCCTTTCTTTATTGGAAAGAAAACAAACTGATGCCAAACTCAATCAAAGCATGAACAAAGGAAAAAAAGAATAAACAAACTGTTCATTATTCATTGCAGATAGGCATGGCTGATGCAGAACCGTTCACAGTTCATGTCATCATACCATTATTTTAAGCTTGTGAGCAATGCTGATGCACAGTATATGGACAAAAGTATTGGCCCACACCTCTTAATCTTTGAATTTAGGGCTTTCATTCAAGTATATAAAATCAAGTACTGAGTACTTAGCCATGCAGTCTATAAACATTTCTGAAAAAACGGGTCACTCTAAAGAGCTCACTTAAGCATTACAGAAAGTCAGTTTGTGAAATTTCTTCCCACCTAGATATTTTACAATCAACTGTAAGTGGCATTAATGCAAAGTGGAAGCACAGTAACTCGGTCAGTCGAGAACACATAAAGTCACACAGTGGGGTGCTTGAGTGCTGAGGTGCATAGTGTGAAAAAGTCACCAGCGCCCACGGACATTAACATTAGCACAAAAAGTGTGCACTGGGTGCTTCACATCATAAGTGTCCATGGTTGAGCAGTAGCTTCTGTAGGTGTAATGCATGATTAGTGATTATAGCTTTATTAGTTTCAAGCCATGGACCATTCATGTGTCTTTAGTGTCTCTATCTGTATTTCTGCTTATTAGATTTTATTTATTTATTTTTTTACATTTTCAATACAAAAACTCAGTTTTCTTTTGCTATCAGCCGTGGTATGTTAGATATAGAGAATGAAAATTTTGAGTGTTCACAAGAAGAACATGACTCTGAAATAGATTGAGAAATCACATGAGTCCAACCTTTTCAAAACCCGAATCTTTTGGTTTTTCTCAAAACAGAAAAACTGTGAATCGGTATTTGGGTTACGCCTAGGTTCATCTTATCTGTATCATTACTGTCAAAGTACGTTGTACCTTCTGTTATATTTTTTACTGATGCAATAGTCAGGACTCTTTATTTCTGGAGACTTCTCTGTCTGAGTATCTGAACTGGCAGCCAGGGATAGATGACAAAGCATAATTCTCTCTCTTTCTCTCTCTGCATTGTCAGCGTGTGTCCCCCCTTATGTGAGTCTGTGTGTGTGTGTGTGTGTGTGTGTGTGTGGTGTGTGGGTGGCTGGGTTCTTGCACCAACATTTGGTATGTGCATCAGGTCTTTCTACTGCCTCAATATTTTCATAACTGTCTGGTGCAGCTCTGCAGTGAGCACTTTGCCTCCTCACTTAATCAAAATTTAATCAGAGCAGTTAAATCAGGGCAGAAAATCTTGCAGACATGTGTCTAAGAATAAGTTCACTTCCCTTTTAATAGCATATAATAAGCTATTTAATGAAGGGTGTAGGAAAGTTAGTGAATCAGGAAGTACAGAGGATTAGTAAAAAGGAAGTGGGGGCAGCTATGAAGAGAATAAAGATTAGAAAGGTGTTTGGTCTTTGAGACATTGCTGCAGAAGTATGCAGATGTCTAGGAGCAATGGCAGTGGACTGTTTGACCAGAATGTTTAATACAATCCTGGAGAGTGAGATGAAGCCTGAGGAAAGGAGATGAAGTCTACAGGAACCAATTTTCAAGAACACAGTGATGTGCAGAGCTGTAGTAACTACAGAGTAATAAAACTAATGAGCCATAACATGAGGATATGGGAAAGAGTTGTTAAAGCTAGATCAAGAAGAGAGGTGATGACCAGTGGGCAGCAGCATGGCTTCATCCAGAGAAAGAGCACTACAGATGTGATATTTGGTTTGAATGGAGAAGATCATAAGGAGTTGTAGTGTGTTTTTGTAGATCTAGAGAAAGCACATGATGGGGTACTGTATGAGGAAGTCAGGCATGACAGAGAAGCATGTGAGAGTGGTGCAGGACATGTATGAGGACAGTGAGACAGTAGTGAGGTGTAAGGTAGAAGTGACAGATTGATTGAAGGTGGGGTTGTTTTTCATCAAAGCAGAGAGCCTAGAGAGGTGGAGGCATGCTGTTGAATATGGAGCTGTCAGTCAGGAGGAAAAGAAGAATACCACAGAGAAGACCCTTAGCTGTAGTAAAGGAAAGCATGCAGATTTTTTGCATGACAGAAGTGGATGTAAGTGATGGGGTGAGATGGAGACAGGCAATCCACTGTAGTTAAAAGAAGAATGGTAAATGGTAAATGAATTTAAAAGAAGAAGAAGAAGACGACGACGACAATAAGCTGTTTAAAGTTATCACAAGGTTAAAGCACTCTGTGAGAGAACCTTTGACAGATGAGGAGAACTCTTTGTTGCTGTGTTGCAGACCTGGTGTCAGCCACCAATACCACCAACGTGAACATCCCTCAGATGGCTGACACACTGTTTGAGCGATCCACCAACGCCAGCTGGGTGGTCGTCTTCAAGGCCCTCGTCACCACACACCACATGTGTGTCTATGGCAATGAGGTTAGTGAACAGTAAATAGACCATTTAACATGTGAAGCAGTTTGGTTTAAGCTTGAATCTCTTCTAATCAGGATAAAAGATAAATAGAAATGCTGAATAGTATATATTATAGTATACTTTAATATAGTAAAGTTTTTTTTCTAATTGCTGACAAAAACAGTCACCCCTTTGAAATAAATAATAAATGTCTGGTGTGGTGTGAAGTTACCACTTTAGAGAGCTGAAATTGGTCTTTCAAGGCATTTGCAGGAAGCCTGATGTTTCACAAATAAATAGAGGCTTTGACCACAAGTTAGTGGAATGGGTCCACTGTGCATTACTCCTGTAAAAGCTATTAAATAATGGAATAAAAGCTTGAAAAGCACAACAAAGAAAACCCTTACTAGAGATGTCAATGCTGTGTTGTTGGCTGTAGTTTTCAGCTTTGACTTCTACAGGAATGTTCACTGGGTTTTCTTTCTCTTTCTCAGAGGTTCATTCAGTACTTGGCATCCAGGACATCCTTGTTCAACCTCAGCAACTTTATTGACAAAACCGGATCTCATGGTAAGACGACAGTCTGATCAACTGTAATATCCTCCCTTTGTGTCGTTGTGTATCGTTCTTTGTAAATGGATAATCTGATAATAACCGCACATTACTGAACTTTCTCATCCTTTGCTCCTTAGGTTACAGATTTTAGAGAAGAACTTACATAAAGTTAGGAAAAATAGGAACTCACAGGAAAATAACAAATATCACATATCAGCTACAATCCCAGCAGCCGATCTCAGTGCTGATGGATCAGCCGCTACCCTTCCATATATATGTTCAATCTAGGGTGTTGTTTAATTTGTTGCACGTTTTTCAAACCACCTCCTTTCCTGCTCCACCTTTCGCTTGGACTTAATCGGTGTCAACTAATGAGATCCATAATTTGTTGGACAAGGATATAATTTTTGTAGTTTCGTCTCTGTACACAACCAGACAATCTAAGTGAAGTGCAGACTTGAAGAATTACAGCCCTTTAAATACACAGCTCCCCCATTTTCAGAGATTTAAAATGAATTGGACAAACTAACATAATTTTAAATATAAGGACTGTTTTTAATACTTGGATGGAAATCCTTCCCAGTTTATGGTTGCTGAAGTTTAGAACCCATGGACATCACCTAATGCTGTATTTGTTCCATTGCAAGGTGGCTGCTAAGCCTTTACTGCAGCCACCTTTATTGCAGGGTCTTTCCATGTACGGTTTTATTCAATAACTGAAAAATCAGGTGACTGACTTGGCCTTTGAAGAATATTTTATTTTTTTCCTTGACAAACTGTTGCATTGCTTTTGTATTTTGGGTCATTATCCAGTCCTAAAAATCTAATTCTGGCCTTTCTGTTTTTGAGTGAAACCAGTGATTTGCACCTTGTTATAAGCCATCTTCCATTCATGAATGCATCTCTTGATAATGATATTTCTACTTTCTTAAGAGTGTCCTTTTTCTTAACTATGGAAAAAATGCTGTCATCATGCATTTTGTTGTCTTCTGATGTATTTCGGACCTTTTAGAGTTGCTTAACTGGCCAATGCATTTTTTCCTTTTAAGAATGTACCAGATCACTGATTTGGCCCTCACAAAGGTGTATTTTTAGCCAAATGACGACCTCGCTCACTTGCACTGACATCCCTTTGGGCTCTTAAAATTACAGTGAAAAGCTATGAAACCTTATTATATCAAATATTGTGTCTTGTGACTTCATTTGTCATGAAATAATAAGATGACAGGTCTCACTTGAATTGGCAGATTCATTTTAGCCTCTGCAAATGGGGGCTACATAAAAATATTTTTTGTTTGATGTGGTACATTACCACTGTGGTAATGTACAGAGGCTACAAAATTGTGTGTTCAGCAAATTATGGACCAAACTATCTCAGCTACACACGGGGAAATTGTGATTCCTGTTATATTGACTGCTTTAGGGATACACTGTTTACTGCAGGTTCTAAAAAATATTTTCTCACTAGGACAAAAAGAGATCAATGCATGAAGTGAGCTGTTGAGAAACAAATGACAAATAATAGAAATAATCAAGAAAGAAATACAAGCAGACAGCAAGAAGCCTATTAGCTTTTTGTTCAACAATCATTTAATTTTGATTTCATTTTGTGTAGGCTATGACATGTCTACATTCATCAGGCGGTATGGACGATACCTGAATGAGAAAGCCTTTGCTTACCGCCAGATGGCATTTGACTTCACCAGAGTCAAGAAAGGGTACGGTAAACACGGTGTGCATGCAGTCGCTCATAGCAACACTTGTTTGGCCATTAGCATTTTCTTTTACATGCTTTTACTTAGCGTGTGGTTAAAACCTGTAGCTCTTCTTTTGTGTAAAATACTCTCTCTGTTGTGTTACCTCAGCGCTGATGGAGTGATGAGAACCATGACCACTGAGAAGCTGCTGAAAGGCATGCCTGTTCTGCAGACACAGATTGACACACTCCTGGAGTTTGATGTGCGTCTTTGCTTTGATTTGCACACTTTTTCGCTCTTTTTCTTCTTCTTTATTTATTTGGATGAACAGAACCTCAGACAGCCCTACTTATCTCTGTCCTGTCTCCTCTCAGGTTCATCCCAAGGAGCTGAACAATGGGATCATCAATGCTGCATTTCTGCTTCTCTTCAAGGACTTGGTGAAACTGTTTGCATCCTACAATGATGGGATCATCAACCTATTAGGTTAGTAGTCCACTTAAAGTGAATAGATTGCAGGATTATTTCACTTCACCGATGATAATCAAAAAAGATGGACAAGGTGTTTGTCAGTCAGCAAACCTCTTGTTTTTGTGTGTAGAGAAATTCTTCAAAATGAAGAAGAGTGAATGCAAGGAGGCCTTGGAGATCTACAAGCGTTTCCTGACCAGGGTGACAAAGATTGGAGAATTCATGAAGCTGGCTGAGGTAGCCTCAGCGGTCCTTTTTCTTTTGACTCACATAGTGACTGTAAAAACTGAGTCTGTGCAGTGTGATAATATTGTTTTTTAAATATATATATATTTCTTTTCTTTAACAGACAGTTGGAGTTGACAAAAATGACATTCCCGACATCAACTATGTAAGTTATATATCACAGCTCTCAGGGTTTTTTTAATCCCACTTTGCAAGCGATGGGATCAAGAATATATAATGCATATGACTACCATCCATCTCCTCTCACACACACATGCATACACAGAAGCCCATGTCTCACCCACCACCATCTCCCCACCCAGTGTCTCCACCCAGGGGTAGTGGTGGATCTAGCAGACTCGGATGACGAGGACTGCCCCTTTAAACCTCTCGAGGAACCGGTAACCACAGAAACAAAGGGGTTATTTTGGCTGAGTGCCTGTTTACAGGATGAAGTGTTGGCACGTTGACCTTTCTTTAATTTGACAAACAAGTCACACAAAACACACAAATCACTCTTGTGTTTGTGTGTGCATAGACACATGCATGTGACTAATGCGGTGGGATTTTCTCTCACTCTTGTTTCTGGTGATTAAACCTCGGCTGGAATGTATCTGAGGAGATGATTTAAGATTTGTGTGGAGTTGTGATTACAGTTTGAAATTTCTTTGTTCTGCTCAGGCTCCCAGCAGTATCCTAGAATCTCTGGAAACCCACATGAATGGCCTGGAGGATATAAAAGGTGGAAAGAAGGGGTAAGACGTAACATTTCTTTGCAACGTCATAGTAAAAACATTAGGATAACTCTTTCTATCTCCCGCTTTTGTTTTCACGAGTAGCCAATAGAAATATTGGTAGAAACAGGTTTTGTATTTCTACAGTTTCCTTTAACCCCTCCTCTCTTTTACTCTCCTTTACGTTGATTTGGAAACACCAGTGAAGGGTGAGCATATGTGTTATGTTTCGTTTGCAGTTTACTAATTATTTAGATGTATTTACTGTCCCACCTCTCGCCACACCCTCCCCCAGGTAATAAATGGGCACATTATTCACATGTGAATTATGAACTGGATCAATCTAATAGTTCACATGTGGAAATGTGTGTGTCGGTGTGATTACATGCGTGACCTCTGGGAGACACATGTTTTGGTAAACAGCAGGTCACCACATGTGTACTGTCATACGCTAATATGCAATGTGAATCGTTATATGAAGGGTTTCATTCCCAAGTCAAACTGAAAATGAAATAAAAGCTGGCAAAATCGGACTGATTTAACAAATCTTATGCACTGGATTTTATTCTTGTTTTCATACTTGATTACATATTATGGTACTTTGGAAATTAACTCTTCATATGATCACATATGATGAAGTCTATCTTAAATGTTTGTTTGAATCCCCGATATTAAGTTTAAAATGATCTGTAAAATTGAGCTTTTGTCAAGCAGTTTGTTTTAAGCACATCACTTATACCTCCTCTTGTTCTTCCACTTTCAGGTCTCCAACAAAGGTAAGATGCACATTTAAAGTAGTCTGTTTTTTTCTTTAGCCTTTTATATTGTGAATCAGCACTGAAAGGGGGCTTGTCTGTCTACTTTCCAGGGATCTCCTACAAACAATGTGTCTCCAACGTCAACTCCAGCCAAATCTTCAAATGCTGTTCCCACATTGCAGCCTCCTCCTGGGGACAGTGCTGGCAGCGCTGCTGCTTCAGCTGCTCCTGAACCGGCTGAAGAGTAGGTTCCTATTTCTAGTAAATACCCCGCCAATGCAACCTTTCAAAAAACATTGGATTTTGTTAACATCTATAAAATACCATATACTTACAGTGTATCTGTATTGTCAGTATTGCCAAAAGTAATCACCACCCATCAGAATTGATCAATCCAATTCCAGCATGGTACCATGATACGATGCCACCCGTGCAACATGTCCAGTGTGAAATTTCCTCTCTATGAAATATTCCACAGTCAGCTGTTAGTGGTATTATAACAAAGTGGAAGTGATTGGGAATGACAGAATTTTAACAGACAGACAGAAATCACGAATTGTGATTTTTTTGGTGTCTGCTTGCCCAGTTTAGTTTATAATTTCATTTAGTTCACATGTATAATTTGGATGATGGGTAAATGATCTCAGAAGCAAGACATTTCCCACGATGTTGTCTCCACTTTTTTTAGTGCTAGGTAACAAAATGTCACTCCAACAGTGCTATTTTAACCTCACCCAGCTGATTAAGTGCAAGTAAACTATTGATCATGTGCAGCAGAAAATTTTCACTCAGAAAAGTGTGGTTAAAACTTTATCATCTTCCAGTTCATTGCTAGATCTGGATCCACTGTCCTCTACTGGCCCTTCAGCACCATCAGCTGCCCCCACATCTTGGGGAGGTAAGTGGCCCTCCTTCCTTTAGAACAGCTGCTGATATCATGCACATGGTTTTCATCGCAGTCATTGTTAGAAAGAATGACAGGTAATCTAGTCCTTTTAGTGAACATGTAACAGTCTATTTTCATTGGAGTTGACTAGAGAATCAAATCAAATCTCCAGAACAAGACATATCTTCTCCCTGTTTCTTTGTTTTCTGCCTCCGTAGATCTTCTTGGATCAGGTGAGTGCAACTCCTCCTCTGTACTTCACCTGTAGGATCTGGTCCAGACTAGTCCATTCTTAAAACCTCCTCCAGGTTGCCTTGATTTTACTGGTTTTCTTGCTGTAATATGAAATTGAAGCAACCTGGAGGCAATATATTGTTTCTCTATTTAGAAAATATAAAAATAGACAACATTGCAGCAGTGTCACATGGTTACTTCCCTGTTTGTCTCCTCAAGCTGTTCTCTTAGTCTGAGTACTCTCTTTGTTTCTCTCTGCCTTCTCCCTCCCCTCCCTCCACATACTCCATTGTCTGTTTTTGGTTTATAATGGGGGCTATTTTGGTTGATTGCTTTTTAATATTTATTTCTTGGTTATGACTGGACAATGCTGGATCATTTGGCGACTTTTAATTTGTTTAAAAATACGGGTTTTTCTTCTTCTTTTTTTTTGGCCACTTCTAAATGATCTTTATTGGGCTTTATTTGGATTGACCTTTCTTTTGGCTTTTTTTTTCTTCACTCTCACAACGGTGACTCCACTGGCTATTTTGGTTCCTCTTTTGTGGTTTATTTTGCCTCCTTTCTATGGGGATTTCAAACACCCCTGCTGGTACTGGAAGAAATGGGCGATTCCTTGCTATCTGAACCCACCCTCGCAGCTGAGCCCACCCCCTCCCTTGCAGCGGCATCGCCCACTCCTGCAGCAGCAGAACCTGGAGTCTCTCTAGCTCCTCCCACTAGCACAGCAGCTGCCACCTCCCCTGGCGCCGCCAATGTGGATCTGTTGGGAGGTCAGTGGGCTTCCAGAAAATTCTCTACGAAGGAATCACTCTGGGAAGCTCAACTGTAAAACCCATCACACGATATGATAACACAGACGACTGCATGCTCAAACACGTACAGTATGTAGACAGAACTTTGCTGAATTATGGCAGTTGTTGTCTGTCCACTGCAAGCAAAGTTGTATCATCAAAAACTCTCACTGCGTACTGGATTGATGCACATCCCTATCAACTGCCTTAAAATTATAGCCCCGCATTATTTAGTTATATTTAAACAGACTAAATACATTTGATTATGGATTAACCATGTCAAAATATATACACTTAATAGCTTACAATGCTACTCAATGTTTAGAAAAACTTATCACATGAATTTTCACTTTTCATTTCCTAATGCCACATTTCATGACAGTGTAGTAGTCCCTGCCTCTGTTAGCATCTTTTTGACGTTGATGCCCTAAAAACAGCAATTTATTAACAAGATGCTGATCGTAATTTTGGCCGGCATTGATATTACTCAGCGTTAAAAGAAGGTGAAAAGAAAGAAATGCTTCCATGCAGGTTGTGTAGAAAAGATGGTTTGTGAACTAGGGTTTGCCATTTTGGAGGTTACTATGTTCATTTTCTTGTGACGTTGTTCATTTTCATGTGAGGGTAGAGCTGGGGGAACTATCAGCTACCCTGCAGCAATGCTGACTTATTTCACAAGATTAATCTGTAACTTATCACTGTCTATACTTCAGCAGGGTTATTAAAAGTGTTTCTTAGTGAGGAGACTCAATAGGTTTGCCTCTTGCTTTGGGCTCACAGAGTGTGCACATTAGTGACAGGAACACATATTGGGTGAACATGAAGGGTCTAACTACAAGGTGAAGATTGCAAAGTTTCTTCTGATAGAAACTCTACAAGATTTACAAGAAACTGTAAATCCAGACAGCGTTACCACCACAGGCCAAAGACAAAAAAGCCGGCTGACTGGTTAGGTTCCACTCCCAGGCATGCGTGGCTGTGCTGAGTGGGGTTTTTCTCGTCATAGTTGAAAGGTTTGCTAGATAAAGATTTGGGGGCAAAATAGGGCATTGTTAATTTGCAGTTGATGCATCAAACCCTGTTCAATAAACTATCATTCTAGCATAGCTTTGAGAGATGTTGCATGCCAGTTGTTCTTGATCAGTTCATTGCTTGGCTGAATTTGTGCACAGCCAGGATTGTAGTTCTGGACCGTTGGCTTGCTTTTCCTGTGCTCCGTGACATAATAATAATCTACTGTATTACAGAGAGTGGTATAGTGGCTAACGTGTGGTATAAAAGATTTCCTGTGTCTGATCATGTAGCAACAAACAAAAAATCAGTCTATTACTAAAAGTACTGTGCACTAAGTGGTGCACAGGGTGGTCCGAATTATCCATGAGCTGTTATTTCCACAGCACACCGCAGCTAAGTACAGTACTGCAATTACAACTTTTGTTTCAAAATGTTATGAGCGGAATTGATCAGATTTGGAGAGGTACATGAAATCTTGTCACCATTCAGGGTTGCTCCTTCTTGGAAGAAATTTACTTGGGTAAAGTGTGTAACTATGTGGGCAGTATCAATGCTTTAGTGTCATGAAAAGTGTCATTATTTAAATTACTAAAAGTGAAATTCTGATGTGAAAAATATCTCAATATAGAATTTAAATGAATGAACTAGCTAATATGATAATAAGAATGACTAACAAGCAGTTTAGTGATGAGTTGTGTTTTAATCGTTTATCGGTGGTACGCAGTTTTATGTGATGTGCTTTTTTGGGAAAGCAATCACATTTAATCACATTATTTTAATCCATACAAAATGTACAATCAGATTTAGACTTAATATTTCTACAGATATTCTCCACATACTCACCACATGTTCACTTTTGGCTTGTATATACACTGCTGCACTCATGCGTCCTGTTTGATAGGCCGTAATGCTTTTCTTTGATCTCTGAAAAGCAATTCTATCAAACCCTGTCACATGTCTACAGCTACAGATGGCAGCTGTAACACTTGTAGAGTCCTGGCTTATTCGGCTCTTTGTGCACTAGATTAATCCTTGCTGTAATGCCTCCTGTCTGTATTCCCATTTGCTCATTCACCTGTCAGTCATTGATGTCACATAACAGTTCTGTACGCTGCTGTTTCTAAAAGCTGAAAACAGCTTAAAAATGCTTCTGCAACTTAAACGCTTTAATCTTATGTTCTTTTTTCTTAATAGTCTTGTTTTCCTCTGGCTTTTTGACTCTCTCTTTTTTATCCTTATTTCTTCATCTGTCTCTCTCCGCGTTTCTGTCCTCTCCTGGGGTTTTGCAGAAGCCTTCGCAAGTCCTGCTCCTGCCGCTGAGGCCTCCGCAGGAGCAGCTGAAGGTGGGGCTGCTGCTACATCCACCCCAGCTGCCAACACTGGAACTGGTGGGTGACCAACATCTGTCTGTGTGAGAGAGAGTGTGTATGTGTGTCAGCCAGTGGCATACATGAGAAAGCAACAACAACAAAAAACACGCAGTTAAGCAATTCTTTCTTTACATGTTTTCTGCATGAAAACATACAAACAATACAGCAAAGCAAGTTAGCTAAAAACTCAAAACCTCAACAGGAAAGAAGCTGTGAGCTAATTTGTGATGCTAATATTAGCTTAATTAAGCTTTAGAGATTTGCTGGCTTCAACAGCTACAGCTATCTAAAATAAAAACCAATTGTTTCAAAGTTGTTGTTTTTTTTTTTTTTTATTACACAGAGTAATAAAAAACCTACTCACAGTAGAAAAGGTACAGGTGTAACTATTAAAATAATGCTAGCTTTTGTTTGTGTACGTTGAGTCACGCTATCATGGCTTTATATTTTCTCCTGTAACTTTTCAAAATGCGCATATTTATTTAGAGACTTAGACTTAGAGACTTAGAGCTTTTTCTTGTCATTGTGCAGTTTCTTGCACAGCGAAATTGGGTAGCTGAACCACAAAGGTGATAAAGTAAGAAGAAGAGAAACCAATATACAACGAAGGCGGAAAAGAAATAAATAATTAAATAAATAGAATAAAATAAAAAAAACAGTGTACATGTATACATATGTGAGTGGAACTATATACATGGTGTATGTGTAGGAAACATTGAAACAGACTGGGACCAAAATAATTGCACATGAGCAAAAAATATAGCACAGAACATGGAAAGACTGAGATATTGCACATAGATGATCAACAGCAGTGTCAGGGTGGATGTGTTGGGGAAGTCTTTACACACTCTTAGTTTGTATTAAGAGTTCTGACAGCCCACGGGAAGAAGCTGTTCTTTAGTCTGTTGGTTTTGCACCTGATGGATCTGAGCCTTTTTCCAGAGGGCAGGATGTTGAAGAGGTGGTGGTTAGGATGGAGGTGGTCCTTTATAATTGCCCTGGCTCTGGAGAGACATCTTGAGCTGCCAATTAAGTCCAGGGAGGGGAGTGGACAGCCGATCACCTTCTCTGCAGTTCTGATGACCCTCTGTAGTCTCTTCTTGTCAGCTGTTGTGCAACCAGCGTACCACACAGGGATGGCGTGCACCAGCACACTCTCGATAGTGTCACGGTAGAAGAATGCAATTGTGTGAGTCAGAGTTTCTCATCAATAATTACTATATTTTACTTACATACTTTATTTTCCTAGTTAGGAAGGTATTCTTTCGACTTCTGTGCATTTCCGTAGTTTGAACTCAGAACATGGAGATAACATGGGCACAACAAAGAGTTGTTAAAATACAGGACTTTAATGGAATATATTGCTTGTTATGTTGTTTTTGTATTTCTTTTATTATGACTGTGAAAGAAGAAAATGTTATAACTTTACAGAGAAAGATGTAGATGCCTGTGGTTGTGAATGTGTAAAGGTTAATGAGGGTTTAAACTCACGTCTTTGTGCAGGTAGTATGGATTCATTCATCATTACTGCTTGGGTATGGAAGGGAAATCTTGTTAGTGGCGTTCAAGAGCAAGAATATTCATGCTTGTCTTTTGTCATCACAAGAAAACTTTAGACTTTCTGTTATGGAGAAGACTGCCTGGTTTTATTTGAAGTTCCTAACGTTATGGACTGTGAAAGGATTTAATATCCGCTCCAGTTGTTTGTCATTTTCTCTCCCATCACAGATGCTATTTATAGCTGTAACTGTTACGACTGACAGCAGGAGTATGTTGGAGCTCTGCACATTTTCACCTCCTATCATTCCCATCTGATGTTTTCCATTTCTCTGACCTCCTTCTTGTGGTTATTGCGGTACTCCTGTAACCGTTACATAAAACATACAGTATTGTGCAAAAATGTTGAAAAATAATGCAGTGAGTAGCTTCATAAGTTCACCCTCAAATCAGTAATTGTTGTGCTTGCACTTTTTCTTTGATGCAGCACCAGTTCTCAAAGGAACATTTTTCAAAGCATCTTGAAGCACTTGCTGCAGTTTTTCTGTGTCAGCCTGTCTCTCACTTTTCACTGTCTTTTTGTGTAAAGACAGACTGACGCATTGATATTGGGATCAGGCCTCTGCGGGGGACCAGATATCTAATGTCTAGAATTGACCTAAGCCTTTGCTCAGTGCCGTATGTCTGCTCTCTTTTGTATCAAAGTCAATGTCTAACATTCCCCTTTTCTCAATGTTTTACATTTCTTTCCTACCCCCCAACACCCCCCATTTCCTCCCAAAAGACCCCTTTGCTCCCTCAGATGGTAGCACCAACGCAGCGTCTTCAGGTCTAGACCTTTTCGGCATGATGTCAGTGGAGAGCAATAACCCGGCTAGTTCCCTGGATGCCTGTTTTAGCTCGGGTGTGCCCCAGCCCTCCCCTTCCCATTCCCCTTCACCGCTCTTCACCTCCTCATCCAACACCATCACCACCACTGCAACCATTTCAGCTCCTATTGCCGCCAGCACCACCAGCCCTGGGATTGACCTTTTCAGTGGTAAACATTGGAGATTTGTGTGATCCGGCATTAGTAACTATCGCATCATACTGAGGCAGGCTGGTGTCTTCTTGACTCTGTGGTTTGAGGCTGTTTGCCATTTTTTTGTCATTATTTTTATGAGGGAAAATGTGCACATGTTTGCAGCTTTGCCTCTCCAGTTGAAAGAGTTTGAGCTTTTTAATATTCCTGTCTTGGGTGCGCATGTATTTGTAGATATCTTTGACTCCATGCCAGACACGAGCTTCTCCAAAACAGACCTCGCTCCCAGTGCTGACTTGTTTTCAGCAGGTACCCTTTTGCACTCAATCTGCCATCTTGCGCGTGCTCTTACTCTCATATCCTGTCTTGCTGTTTGTGTTTTTCAGCTTTGTCCTTGGCTTTGATCAGGGAAGAAAAGAAGGAAATGAGATTGCTCTGTTATGGGTCAGCTGAAAGCCACTGAGCTGTCTGAAGCATTTAGTGAATGACACTTACCTCTTTTCTTATTCCGGCATGTACTGCGTGCACTGAAACTGAACTTGATAAAAGCGCACTGTGCATTATAATGAATAGTTTCTGTGTGTGTGTGTGTTTAGTGTGTATTTGTGCGTGTTTGGGGTCTAAAAACATAATCTCCACCTTGCCTCCTCCAGCGGATGTGTTCAGCTCCTCTGCCCCCATCCTCTCCTCAGCACCCCCATCCAAACTTGACACAGGAGCCATCATGAATCTGTTTGGTGGTGGGTAACTCACATGACCGCCTCCCCTCACTCTGCCTCTCTTGTTCACGCTGAGGAAGCGAAGGACATAAAATGAAACAAGTGATTTTGAAACCATCAGGTTTTCTCCTTTATGATCATAGCTATTGCGATTGTTGCTGCTGTATATTTTGTTTTTGTTATTCATGTGGGTGGATACATTATTGGAGATTCGCACACAGATAGCTGAGATGAGTCAAAGTATTTATCAACTGCTAATAATGACTCTGGCTCAAGATTTTCTTCCTTTTAAACTAAAAGTGGCTACACTACTTCAGCACAATTATACTTGCTCTCATTTATCCTCTAGAAAAATAGGATTATGAGCACAAATCTAACAACTAAAATTCCTTGCTGTGTATATCTGAGTGTTACATGTGAAAAGGCCATTTTTATAAGCAGTATGTGTGTGTGATGTTTTCATTTTCTGAAATCGAAAATCCTGCGCTCATGCTTTCAAGCCCTCTTTTCTAACTCTAAGCATTTTGTCTGACATTAATAGTGTGAAGCTGAAGGCTGATTGTTCCCCTTCTTTGCCTTAATGCTGCGATGGAAATGGCTCGACCCACTGCGACCCTGTCATGGAATGAATGGTGGACTGTGTTTATGTTTTTTGGTTGACCTGCCAGAGCCTACAGGAGGAGATGCCCCAGCTGCTGCTGCTGCCCCTGCTCCGGTTGCCCCCGGTGCTGAACTGATGTCAGGTAAATCCTCAGATGTGGAAGTGCCAACCTGAATGTGATCAGTGAAGGTTATATCATCATGTTTGTATGAAATAGTTCCCTCTCACTGCATGTATTGTGGTCATGGATGGATTTCATAACAGATATTATGAGCACAGGTCTGGAGGCTCCTGAGCTAAAGCCTCTGTATTAAGGTTTGTTTTTGTCGAGTTTAAAGTGGAAATAGACTGATGGTATTGTTTTGTAAAGTCTGTAAGCGTGGAATAAAAGAGAGAACATTAACCAGAGGTCCTCACAGACTGACTGGATGGGGTCATGGTACCAAACAAGCACGCTCATTTATAGAATTCCCCACTCAACAATTATTTCAATGATGGACTCATGCACTCCAAATATGAGTCTATATTATTAATATATATGCGGTAACAAACTACTCACTCATCAGAACTTCACCTTTCAGACCATGCTCTCAGCAAAGTCAGTGCTGCTCAAGTTCCTTAAGTCCAAAGTCCTCCCCTCTACTCTCCTTCCTCTTTTAAGGACCACTTTTTTTTTGCTTTGGCTTGCTAAACATAATTTATAATGCTGCTGCACAGAGGAGCTACTCTGTTTTTTTTCTGACACTTGCCAAAAACAAAAACGGTTGCATAGGCTACTTGACATCAACAGGTTCACATGCATGTTCTGCAAATGACAGACGGCACAAAAGGATTTGATTCATAATATTAGTAATAATATATTGTTTGAATACAGTAAGGCTTTGGTTGATGAGTTAACATGACTTATTAAACATATTGTGGAACTTTTATGTGTTAATAGTTCTATCGACCTTGCTTCTCCTGTCTTTTGGGCCCTGGATGCCCTGTCCAAAAAAGAATAGGTTGGGGTTTCTGCTTAGCTCAGAGGCCCTAACCTGATCATTCATCCATGGCTACAGCTGTTCATCTTGTAATAACACTCATGATTCCTTGTTGTTGTCCTGCTAATACCATAATATCACTTTACAATATTTTACTAACACTTTCTTTGATAATCTTAAAATCGGTTTGCTTGCCAGACTAGCTGTTTCATGTCAGTGAATGTATCACTTACTGTTTCTATTAACTTTGGTAATGGTTAATGAAATAGTTTGCTGTCAGCAGCTTCTCTTTGGATTGTATTTATTAACTTTTAACAGCAACATACATCAACATTGTTTGTGCCACACAAAATGGTGCATGTTTCTGCTGGCTTGGTTTTTGCTTCAGTTTCATCATAACAGCATCACATTTTGCTTATGACGACTTACATTCTTCGGAAAATCCTCCAATCTTTCTCACCTTTCAATACTTGATCCCTGCTTATGTGGTTCCTGGTCCTCTCCTTTTGTGCTGCTGGTCTCATATTATATAACTAATGGTCTGCAATACTTCTGCTTTAAGGCTTAACTCTTTCTCTTTTCCTTCTTTTCTATCAACCATACAATAACCTCCTTAGAAAAAAAAACACTCTATTGAAACCTCATTGCATTTTCCCCTCTCTCTCTTTGGCATCTGTGCTTTTTTTTTTTACTCTCCTCTCTTTCTCTCTCCCTCGCTCTCTTTCTCCATCTGGCTCTTGGGCTGGCTCATTTCTTGCTTCCTGCCATTTGATTGGGTGAGTCCCCTTGCTCTTTAACACGCTAATTTCCCACAGTGCACTGCATTGCGGTGGTGCAAGGCAAGCTCAGCTGCACTTTCTCCTGAAACACCAGATGCTTGACGGTTATGAGGACTGTGTGAAGTAGCAGTTATTATTCAGTGCTTCTTTAGCATTTAACCCAGCTTCATTCTAGCTTCAGTGCTTCTGCCCTCATGCCAGTTTCTGCAGCAGTCACAAACTCATGGGAAAACTACATTAACGGTCGCATTCTTGACATCATGTTTGATGCTATGCAGAAGCAAGCTCAGGTTTATATCTGTCCCACATATATATGTACTTTTAAAGTTCTTTATCTTACTGCAATTGATCATAACAGATGTCTCCTGAGTCATATATTCGATGGTTTTATGTTATATTCTATTTCACATGATTGAAATTCACTAAGATTTAGTATTTTCCAAAAAGAAACCATATGTCGTATTTTAAATGAACCAACTCTTCTTCAGTAGGTTACATTTCAATGCTCTCTTTTTGCTGTTGTCATGGAGACATCTGTTGGTTGTCATGGTAATATCCCAAGTAATAAGAAGGCCTGCTCCTGAGTTGTAGTAGAGTGTGAGAATTGCTTGTAGTGAAGGATACTAATATCTCCCTCCCCTGTCCATCTTCTCCCTTCCCTGTTGCACCTCCTCCCTGCTGTAGTATTTGATGGCCTAGGGGATGTAATGAAGCCCACAGTGACTCCCCAGGCTGGGGATGTTGACACCTCTATGGCTAACATGGCAAGTAGTAAGTAGAGTTTTAGATTTCTAGATTTCTGGACTATGTAATGCAGTAAATTAACATTTTGAGAAATATGCTTGTTTGTTCTCCAGCAGAGATTCTTAAATTGCAAGGTTTGCTTTATTTATTCATTCTAAATAAATTGTGAAAGGCTTGAGAGTTACTTCTTTACATATTAAACAAAAGAGAAAAGCAGTCTTGGGAACGTTAGATGTGCTGGCAGTCACATTTTCTTTTATATTTAACAGAGCCAAACCTATTTATGGTATACATGCCCAAAATGCTAACTAAGTAATTTGAATACTTATAATTTTGTTACAATGTAAAACATTTGGGAATTTGGTGAAATGAATTTTATTTGAGTGGCGTACAATCATTACATTTATTCAATATTCAGTTCAAATCAGTTATATTTCTATAGGACCAAATCACATCAACAATCACCTCAAGTTGCTTTATTTTGTATGGTAAAGACTCTATAAAATTACAGAGAAAGCACCAATCATCAGATGACCACCTATGAGCAAGTGCTTGGTGACAGTGGGAAGGAAAAACTCCCTTTTAAAAGGAAGAAACCTCTGATAGCACCAAACTCACAGAGTGAGTTGCTTAAAGTTTATGAGGGCAAAGAGTCATTTTTTGAGTGTGTGACTCCATCTGACACTTAGTTCACAATTTTAAAAAAAGTCAAGTAAAAATAGCAGCAGTAGCTCTAACTCCCCTATAAACCACAAATATGTTTCTTTACACTTAAAATTATTTATGAAAGTAAATCATTCTTGTGAACTTTAAGAGTGCTTGTGTTAAAGATAAGCCAACTTATTAATCTTTCCACCTCTGTTAAAAGAAAGCAAAGAAACTCATCTACTAAAATGGCAAACATCTACTTTAACTGACTTTCTGTCTTGTAACTTAGAAATCACTGCAGTAAATTACAAGTTACAAATGATGCGACAGATTTTTTTGCAGTACCTTTTTTCTCTCTTTCTTTCCTTCCAAGATCTCACAATGGGAACTCCAGCGGCCCCTCAGGTAGCTCCCCCAAGTTGGGGTGCTCCGATGGTAAATGTTGTCTGTGTCTTAAAGCATGGAGTGGAGCCGCATGCCAGCGACAGATAGGGCAAACCTGTAGCAGCAGTCACAAGTGTCGCCTTCATCACCATATGGAAAAGAAACGGGAAAAAAACAACTTATAACAAATGCTTATGTTTTGGAGATTTGTCCTCTTTCTTTTCAATATGGCCCAGCTCTCCAGGTTCCAGGTGTACCATAAAGCTAGGAAGCAGGGCATAAATTTAATTCAGCCTAATGTGTGTTTCTGGAATATTTACTGGAGAGTGATGAAGGGGGAAGTGATAGTACTGCATTAAGAAGCTGTTGCTTGGAAACAGCTATTAATTTTTGAGTTTTGTTTGAAACCTGATTGAGTTGAGGCAAACCTGGACATTGCAGTTGGTTTGACGCTTCCATCTGAAGGCTACATGAAACAAGCTTCACTGCTCTCTGAACCCCTGTTCATATGCAAATAGACAACAAAAACTGAAGATGAAGTTGGGCTTTCTGTTGTGGCGTGTCCTCGTTTCTTGTGTGCCAGTTTGTTTTGTCCAGCATTTGGTGTGTCTGTCCTTTTTTTTTTTTACCTTAAATTTTTGTTTTCTGTGTTCATTTTGCCATATTTTCATCTGAAATGTAGTATAGTAACATCCCACCTCCTCCTCTCCATCCCCTCTCGTCCACACCTTTAGACCATACCCATGGGTGTCAGTCCTTTTATGGGGATTCACCCTAGCTTCACCATGGTAAGACCTCCAGTCCAGTCTAGTAATGCCCAGGCAGGACATTACTGGATAACTAATGGACAATCACCCCCTTTGGGTGGCCCTCACACACCCATAAAATAACAGACATCTAGTTTTATTGACTCTTTTCCATTCCATTAGGCCGGAGCACCGGTTGCTGGAGCTCCCATGATGCCAATGGCGAGACCAGGCTTCCCAGCCGCTGGGGTGACCCCAGGAGCACCGGTAACACACTTGATTTTTTTTTTACAATGGAAAATATTATTATTTGCACAGGTTACAATGACAAAAGAAGGAATATGAGTGCTAAAATAAGGTGTTTTACAGATGTCTCCTGGAATCGCCCAGAGCCCCAGGAAGCCTCCACCACCCAGGAACGCTCTGGATGACCTCAATATTAAGGACTTCATGTAGACTGACTGATCCCAGAAACCCCCAAGGTACACATCTTTACTGATAGTATGCTGAAACTGCAGATTCCTCTCATTACGGATAACATTCGTATAGTTTTTCTCTGTAGAACAGGCTGGGGTTTAGGCATAACAGTAATCTACAGCACTACTACCATCAGTTATTCTGCTTAAGATGTAGACATGCTTGTTGCTTGTTGTAAACCTGTTGTGCAATTGCTAAACTAAACTATCTCATATGTCATGAAATAGCAAAGCATAAGGAGAAGAATTTGAGCCTTAAACAATAACAACATGCAAGTTCAATTTGATGCTTGAAAAGTGGTTCCCAGACCTGAAGATAAAATTAAGGGTGGTTTTTCTGAGTTTTTTTTTTTTTTTTTAAACAGACAGAAGTCTTTGGCAAATATCAAGATTTTTTCTGAAAGTAGACTTCACAAATTTTAAGTGATCAGCATTCACAAAACAAAATGTGCTAAAAGCTGCTTTGGATTGGGATCCACAACAGTACCGATAAGGTAAAGAAACCAAATGTGTGACATTAGGGTTAGGGAAAACATCTTGTGACAGTTAAATCCGATATCACATGCCAGTTTCATGCTGTTTAATAAAAATAATGCAATATGTTGTGTCTGCTAACACATTCCTCTGACAGAAAGCTAAAACAAGACCATGTTCTTTCTCTGTGTAGGTTTGTCATCCTGTCTGGAGCTCTGTGGAAGTGGATGTCTGACCCCCCCCCCCCCCCCCCCTTTTTTCTCAGCCTCTTCAGCCAGCCATCAACTCTTCGATCTTTGCCCCCCCACCCCCTGAAAGCAACCTGCCCTCTTTATCTAATGTTGTAGCACAACTGTGAATGTGAACCCTAGATACAGAAAAAGAGAATTCCGTTTATGTGTGTGTGGGTGTGTGTGTTATTCAGTGTTAACATTTACTTAATATACTACAGAAAAATTAACAAAAAAAATCAGTAAATGTGTATTTAGATTCATTCTGGATTTTGGCGTATCAGCTGACTTGGAATGGTGGATATATGTTGGTTTCTTTGCGCATCTCCCAGACGAGGACTGTGTTGTTCAATGTGGACTGTGTTCGGTGTAACTTCACTGGCCAACTCCCACTCCTCTATCCCTGTTGTTCAGACTAATACTGTTTATTGTCATTAAAGACTTGGTTGTACCCATATATATCTGATGGCCATCCATCCTACCTGTCTACTTCAAGTTTTTTTGGACAAAAGCTCCTTATCAAAATGTACTTAAACACCACTTGCACTGCAAATCTGGGCTTATCACTAAAGACATTAAACAGTGTTTCGTTTCATTTTCACATTATCTTTTTTTAGGGATTGTATGAAACATGCAAAAATTGACATATGCATTTTAGACTATTTTAAATGACAGATTATACATATTTTCTTTATTTTAAGTGAAAAAGTGTATCATATATTTTTAGTTACATTAAATTATATGGTTGGATAAAAATGCAAGTAGACTAAAAAGTTTCCCACTTTGTACATACCTCTGAAGCTGTAACAAATATTGAGTGGAAATGTTGCTCAGAGTGTGTGCTGTGTCGCCCTTTGCTGGTGTGGAGTGGTACTGCATCATGACGTGAAACAGGTGAATCTGGGAGGCACTCTGAAAGAGCTCCATTCCTTGTTTTGTCTCTACGTACGATGAGTCCAAGTTAAGGTGGAAACAAAGACACGAGGAAGTGTTTGTGATTGGCCTCAGTTGTTTTTGGGTGATTTGTGATAGAGCAGCAGTTGGTACATTTGTTCATGTGCTGCTAACGGGCTCACTGTAAAGCACTCGAGTATACGCTGGATGTTCTGTGTATTATTTCAAAAAGTGACTGTATCTTAATCCATTGTGGCATTAACAAAGTGTTGAAGGAAAAATAAAAATGGCACCTAAAAACAAGAAGAATGTGGATGAATATCAAAAATGAAGGATTCCTTTCTTTTGTTTTTTGTTACATGGATGGCATCACCCCCCCTCCCTCAACCCCACCTGCATGTGAGTCCAAATGAGATGCAATAAAAGACACATCTGTTGATCTCAGTGACCTCAGTTCATCACTTATGCCTGCTTTGGTTTCTATCAGCACTATTTATATTTAACAACAAAAAAAGTGTTTGTGATATGAACACTACCCAAAATAATGAAAAAGGAAACTAAAAAAATAAATGAAAGGTGGATATTCACAATTAACAATTGAAGCACATATTGTTAGAAAGAGGGGATTCATGAGTTTCACATGGTTGCTGGTAGGTAGCAGTGGCCTTGAAAATCTAAATGTGAAATTGCACAACAACAACAACAACAGAGGCTGTAGTGACTCTAGTCATGCTTGCAAAAGCAAATGTAAGTTGTGCTATCATATTATTAGATTCATATAATGAATCTAATATGATTGTTAGCTATCTGTCGCAGGGGGACATATTGAGCACTTGTGAACATTGCATGTTTTGCATATGTATACATTCCAAAAATAATAATAAATCCCTTCTCACCCATCTGGGGTACTGCCTGGTGTGGTAGACCCCAGCCTCTATGGATCTTGTACTTAGAGCTTGTTCCTGTGCTGCCATGATTAGAGCCTCTTTGCTGTCTTTCACTTGATCTTTGTCCAGCCACTAGTAGGATTTCTGGATGTGAGCCACTTCCTCTATATGCTGGTACATGCTGTGTCGGGTAACACACCTTATTTACTGCAGCGCTAGAGGCAGCTGTTTCACGGTGGCTGCAATGAGCATCCAGCGTTACCTTCAGGTGGTGCACTTTGAGAGGAGGTTACATGACGTTGAAGCATGGCAGCTGTTGGTTCCACTGTGGCTGGTTTCAATGATCCTGTCCATCCCTGTTTTAGTGGTTCAAAACCTGGACGACGATCAGCACTGGATACGCTGCAAAGCTCACTACTCCTCTGAGGGCCAGAGGATTGATATGGTGTTCACAGGATTCCTGGTAGGATTTGTGGTATTTTTGTTATAGCTTTTTCATACATCAGTCTCTACAGAAAAGTGAATCGGGCAGCCTTTTTCAACAATCCACAGACCACGAGACTGATTATCAGCATTGTTGTGACTGTTTTTGTTCTACATGTGCCATATTATGCCATGAATATTGTGGAGATAGCAGCTGTTTCCCTAAATAACAAGCCCCTGCTGAGGTTTTGTGAGGACAACTGGGGCACTTTTGCCTCTGTACCATTTGTAAACAGTGCCGTGAATCCACTCCTTTACTTTTAACCCTCTCGAGGCAGGCGTTGCCCATTTGCAACAGTTGAAAACTAACAACCTGATTACCCCACATACATATTTTATGAGTCTTTTTTTACTCAGAAGTACCACTGCAGGACTTGGTTGTGCATTAGCAACAAAAAGTTTAATTTGAGCCTGAGAGGGTTAATTGTTTTTTCACTCTTTGCCAAAAAATGCTAAATGTGTAATGAAAAAGATCTGAATTCCCCCAAATTGGACTAAGGCAGGGGTCAGCAACCTGGGAGCTGCAAATACTTTTTAACATCTAAAATGAAGATAACACTTTTTAATAAAGCAGGATTCTGAGATAAGATATTGTGGTGAACTCCTGCAGAGTGTGCCGGGGTTCTTCCTGTGGATGTCTCATTGATTCCTTGGAAACCCGCTTATCTTCCCGACTTGTTCCATCATTTGAGTTCAAAGCGGGGGGAAAAAATGCAAGGGCAGGCTGTATGCAGGTACTCATCTACATCCCAATCTGGCATATAACAACTTTAAGTATGGGGTTATCTGCTGCTTTTGCAGTTAAACTGTGAACTTCAAGTTCATGTTAATTGGCCTTTTTAAGTGTGTCCTGTCATGAGCATGTTATTACCACACGCACAAGGCCAGAGCAGATCTAACCTGTTTTGTTTTGTTTTTTTAACACTTGTTGCTTTATTTTACAGCCAGCCTTACTGCTACATGCAACAATGGTTAATTCATTCCACAAGCTCGTCATGATCCACACCTAATTTAAATGGAAAATGTTCGCATTAGCATAACTGTTTCTCTGTTATTAGTTTCTCTTTCATCAAAGGAGAACAGCTTGCTCACCATATCATCATGACTTGTTCAGTGCATGACAGTCAGCAAGCTTGAAACATACCACAACTCGGCTCCACCATGGTTACTTATAACGACAACTCCTCTGCTGGAAATTCATCTCTAACCTCTTTGGACTCCAGAAGTCTGATTCCTGCAACAGTGCTGTCCATCTGCTTCCTGCTGGGATTCCTTGGAAACATTGCTGTGATGATTCTCAAGCCAAACTGGGAGAACATGTCCAGTCTGAGCCAGAGTTTAATGCTGAACCTGGCTGTGTCAGACCTGCTCTGCATGCTTACCATTCCAGTGTGGACATACTCGTATCTCAATAGTTGGACCTTTGGGGTTGAGGTCTGCAAGCTGGTAACATACCTTGGCTACTGCAGTGTTTATGGTAGCCTACTGACTGTGACTGCAATGAGCATCCAGCGTTACCTTCAGGTGGTGCACTTTGAGAGGAGGTTACATGAAGTTGAAGCATGGCAGCTGCTGGTTCCGCTCTGGCTGGTTTCAACGATCCTGTCCATCCCTGTTTTAGTGGTTCGAAACCTGGACGACGATCAGCACTGGATACGCTGCAAAGCTCACTACTCCTCTGAGGGCCAGAGGATTGCTATGGTGTTCACAGGATTCCTGACAGGATTTGTGGCAGTTTTTGTCATAGCTTTTTCATACATCAGTCTCTACAGAAAGGTGAATCGGGCAGCCTTTTTCAACAATCCACAGACCACGAGACTGATTATCAGCATCGTTGGGACTGTTTTTGTCCTGTGGGTGCCATGTCTTGTCATGAATATTGTGGAGATAGCAGCTGTTTCCCTACATAACAATCCCGTGATGAAGTTTTGTGAGGACACCTGGAATGCTTTTGCCTCTGTAACATTTGTAAACAGTGCCGTAAATCCGCTCATGTATGCCTTTACTTCTAATCATTTGTTCACTCTTTGCCAAAAAAGTGCTAAATATTTAATGGAGAAGTTCAGAATTCTCCAAAAGCTGCCTGAGTTATCAGATATCACTGCAGAAACTGCTCAGTGATGAAGGTGCTGTGGTACTCTGTGTTTGTCACAGCAAACTGTAGGTATTTGGTGGTTTAATGATGACATTTTTTTCTCACATCAGCTGTGTACTGATTAAAGCTGGTCCTCACCCAGAGCTGCAAAACAACATGTTTGTATAGAATGCAATGTTTGTTGACATGGAATCAGGTAAACATTCAAAACAAAGTACCCAGTATTAAGTGATATACGTATATTTTACCATAAATTATAGTCTAATCTCCATAGTTTTTAATCTTGTTTAAATCATCATTATAATCATCTTTAACTGTTACCATCCCCTATTGCATGCCATACTTCAGACATCAAATGCATACAAGTAGATCCTAAATTTCCAAAACCAAATCAATTAGCTTTGCAGAATAAACCTATCCAACCACCGACCCTGCCAATGCTGAAAGCAGCCTGTCCAAAAATCACGAGTTAACAAAGAAGGAATAAGTAGTATATTTCATAATACTAATCCTAATACTAATGATGATAATATACTTTATAGTTATAATTCACAAAGAAAATGTAAGTTAAAAGATGTTTAGTTATCTTTTCTTTCTTTACTTCTTTTTTACATTTAAATATTATTATGTTTATTAGTCTTTACAAATGCGCCATATTGTAGTGGTTGCACAATTGCCCAGAAAAAGATCCTGCGAGAAGGTGCAGTGCTCTTCTGTTGAGTTCTCCCATCTCATTAGGTCTATTATCTCCAGCTGTGCACTTGTTATCGTATCCCCTCATTCTCATGTATTTATGTAATTTTTTAATTATTATTATTATTAATTTTTTTTACGGGGGCGTCCTTGCTGATTTCCCCGTGTTCTGGAATTTTTTTTTACTAATCAGCATAAATGATTGCTTTGAGTTTACTCCAGCCTCCTGTGTTTTTTCATCTGGGTCAACAATAAGCAGCTTCCAAGCAAAAACAAAACCAATAATAACAAAAAATCATTCCAACTTATTTTTCTCCTTCCTGTATAAAAAAATAAAATCTTTTATTAAATAAAGATGTATTGTGTTGTTTAGAGAGAGATCTGACAAGGGTTTATCTCATACTTTTGCAGTTCAAAATGTCAGTTGACAGGAATATAAATGTATCATTTGTGAACATATTTAGAGGAATATTTTCATTTTTTATTATTTATAATTGAATGCTGCTTCATATAAGTAAATAAATAATACACACACACACACACATACACTTGTTTTTATATCTTAGTGAGGACATCTAACAATAAAAAATGAATGCCTAACCCTAACCCTTAGGCACAAACTAACAACCACCTAATTGTAACTCTGATACTAAAACCACATCGGAGACGACCATTTTATCTGTTTTACTGTTGGTTCAAATCAGTATATGTAAAGCTGCTCAAAAGATGAAATGTTTTCTTGTATGTTTTTTTTTTTGTAAATGAAAACATGTACGACTCTACTTATCTTTTCTCTCATCACTTGTGAAATCTGTCACTGCCTTCCCTGTTCCAGCAAACTTTTGAACCAATTTGACCTACGGGCACATACAGGGTGCATGGATGTGTGTTGTCTTAGTCTCCAGTTATTCTTTTGTTTTGTCGTCCTTTGGAGCTTTGTGACATAACCCTGACTATGTGTATTTCTTGTTTTTTTCTGGGGTCTTTTGGATTCTCTTCCGGAATTCTCTGTGTTTGTGGAGCTCTGAACTAATACTCACTTAATGAGTGTACTCCTCCCTACAGTTATTTGCATTCGGGTCCATGATAAACAGCTCACACAGGTTACATACAAAAAAGGGTCATGCAAATACCCATGATAAGAAAAAATGCAAAAACCAAAGAGCTCTTGGATGCAAAGAAAACCAACACATTCAAAACAATAAAGCTTTTGTTAAAATAAGAGTTCAAAGAGAGGAACATGGGTATGGGTTTACCTTGCACTTTTGCAGTTAAATATCAGGCAAGAGTCAGCAGTTTCAGCAGTTTCTGCTAGAGAGATTTTGATCTTTTTTGATGATCGGACCATCGTTTTGTTAGTCTGAGTCAACCTTTCTCTCATTACAGGGTAACATGATGGTAAACTGATCAAATTACTAAAAGCAAATGTAAAAAAAAAACAGACCCCACACAAGAAGGTCAATATCCAATTATATGACATAAACTTCAATGTGTGAAAAATAGTGTTCAACATTTTAGGTGTAATCAAAGTGTGTTCTTTTTCTCAGTAGTTCAACATGGAGACCTACGATTTGGTTCATGTGGGATACCTCTGAGCTCCATGTATGTTTGCATTGCAGGTCACATTATTAGTAGAGCTCTTTGTGTGAGTAAGGGGATGTGGGTAAATCCTTGGATTTTGTTTTTTTCTAACTCAAGTCCAAGTTACACAAACAAACACAAACAACGAACTATATCCTGTTCAGATAGGACTTGTTGGTGGAGACCGCAGAGCCAAGCAACAACCTTGAAATGTAGTTCAACAGCACAAAAACTTTAGGCTTTAGGGTAATATGTCAGAATTGAAAAAAAGGCTGAAGATCTGACGATATTCCAGAGTTACAAAGCTAAAAAAAAAAAGGACAAGAAACTGTATCCTTTTCAGATAGTCCAAGACAGAAGATATGTTTGCTTTTTATTTTCCACTCCATCTCAAACTAAAAGAAATTTTCCATTTCACCAAAGACATACAAATGTGCTACTAAATGCAAAAATCCAAAAGGAAAATCCAAAAGATTCCTACTAGCAAAATAAATGAATAAAAAGATTCAAAACTCCCAGTTATTCGTGTCCATATTTCCTTTTGTGGAAAGAGTTATGCAAAATTCTGAAAACATGGTGGCAGGTGTCTTTGGGATTTTGCATAGCTCACAGTTTCCTTGTTATCAGTTCCTCTTTGACTACATCAAAAAACAGCAACTTGTTTACCTGACTGCACATTTATCGTCATCATCACTTGCTCAGTACACACCCGAGCAAGCAAGCTTGCAGCATGGCACAACTCAACTCCACCAATATTACCTATAACATCTCCTCCTGTCCTGGATATTCACCTAGTTTCTTCTTGGAACCCAGGAGTCTACTTCCTGTGGTGGTGCTGTCCACCTGCTTTCTGCTGGGATTCCCTGGAAACATCGCTGTCATCATTCTCAAGCCAAACTGGGAGAACATGTCCAATCTGACCCAGAGTTTGATGCTGAACCTGGCTGTGTCAGACCTGCTGTGCTTGGCTACCCTCCCAATATGGATTTACTACTTTGTCTGTAGCTGGACCCTGGGCCTGGCGGGCTGCAAGCTCATGTCATACCTCATGTACTGCAGCGTTTATGGCAGCCTGCTGACTGTGACTATGATGAGTATCCAGCGTTACCTTCAGGTCGTTCACCTGCAGAGGAGTTTACCTCAGGTAGGAGCAAGCTTGCTGCTGGTTCCGCTCTGGCTGTCTGCAATGATCCTGTCCGTTCCTGCTTTAGTGGTTCGACAGCTGGTAGAACAACCACATTGGTTTTATTGCAAACATCAATACTTCTCAGAGGGCCAGTCAATAGCTGTGTTGTTGACAGAGATACTGGTTGGTTTTGTTTTATTTTCTATCATTGTTTTTTCATACATCAGTCTCTACAGAGAGGTGAATCGGACAGCTTTCTTCAACAATCAACAGACCACGAGACTGATTACCAGCATCATTGTGACCTTTTTTGGCCTGTGGGTGCCATATTTAGCCATAAATGTGCTAGCAGTGGCAGCTATTTCCCTAAAAAATGAGAGCCTGCTGAAGTTTTGTGAAGACACCTGGAACGCTGTTGGAACACTAACATTTCTAAGTAGTACCATGAATCCACTCCTGTACACATTTACTTCTATTCATTTGTCCACTCTGGGCCAAAGAATTGGTAACCAGTTAAGAAGGACGTTCAGAAATCG